GTTTCAAATCTTCCCTTGGCTTCAAACATAACCACAATCAAAGCAGATGCAAATATTGTATTGATGTCGTAAGCTACCAGAATAGGCAATGACGAAAGTACTTCAATTAGTGATACAGTATTTTTTAAGATTTCTGCTACTTTAGTATTCTGTTCTGTAGCATTAGTATCTTGACACAACATCTTCATCAAATCATCTCTAATAGAATAAGGTAAGAAGAGATTTAAATCAAAGTTTAAATGTTTTAAGATGAGCTCTTCTCTGTATAACAACTGATCTCTCCAACTCCAAAAGACATCGCTCTGTTCGTCGATTTTTTTATGGGGATTCTTTATCATACATGCTGCCATAGCAATCTTATCAGGCGGCCTATAGTTGTCATTCAATTTGCAAGATATAGCTATCGCAGCACAAGCAACATAGTATTTAGAAGTTGTTATTGGCATTCTCATGTAAAATCTGTTTATGTAAACTGTAGCTGCCAATATAGTTCTACTATCCAACTTGAGAGCAGATCCTAGTCGAATAACAAAATCATGCAAACTCTCTCTAGTCTTCAATTCTTGCGTAACTGTCAATTGTTTTCGACTTGGAGAATGCTTTATGAACGAATCCTCCAGAAACAACCATGTATTATCATCAGGGAACGTAGTACGTTCTATCTTATCACCTCCATTCCTTTTATTAGGCTCGAGATTCTCTTTCAGCATTTTGTCTTCCAATGGTAACTATTATCAATATCAGAAATGTCTTTAAACCATTGAATTTGAATCGTGCGACACACATAAATTCTAAAAGCAAAATAGTTATCGATAGATATTGGTAGTTTGACCGAAAAGGAGACAGAATTAAGACTTCAGGGGGGGTTTCAGGTAATAAGATATTTTACTAAAGAGTATAAATGACATACTATATCTGATAGGATGTTCATACAGAATATTGTTATAACCCGCCCGCCAAATAAAATATTGCTAGTTCTATCAGACTTGAAAAAGTCTAACTGGTTTAAAATAAATATGAATCAAGTTGGACTTCATTGTTCTATGTTGTCTTCCACAGTATAAGTAGCCACTTGCGATATCAACATATTAAGTGTGTTTTGATTTTCATTATTGGCAGCATCAACGAATCAGCCTGCAACACACATACTGCATACAAACCTGGCAATTTTTTTCTTCAATAAAATTCGTTCATCAATCTTCAGTTAAGAATGAAAAAACTTCAATAGCGCATAACATACTTTAACACAGCAAATATGTCTGGAGAAACATCTTTTATGCACTTGGTTAGACCAAGCGTTGCTGCACCAGCTGCATCTTCGACTACTGGACCATGTAATATCAGAATTGATACATCTGCGTGCTTTCAAATTTTAGAGATCGTTTCTAAGCAAGTTCTTTCGTCAAATAAGAGAATTATTGGTACTTTAGTGGGATTTAGATCGGACGATGGAAGTGAATTTGATGTCAGAGATGCATTCATGGTTCCATGTACTGAAACAGGAGATTCAATAGCTATTGACGACCATGCTCATAAAGCCCTTTATCAATTATACAAGAAAGCCCACCCTAAAGAACATGTTTTAGGATGGTTTGATAGTTCTAGCAAGATAGATGCCAATACTGGATTAATTCATGATTTTTATTCTAAAGGTAGTGATCGTGCTTACCCATTCCCAGCAATTTACTTAAATGTCGAATACTTGAGTGAAAACCATGAAATAACTTTCCCTAAGATTTCTACTTACATCGGTGCAGCTATCGGTAAATTAAGCTCTAATACACCAAAGATTGGCTGGAATACGGCAAACACCACGAATTCTTATATTTTTACTCCAGTTCCAAATAAAGTTATAAATAGTACCATCAGTGAAAAACTTGTTATTAACCATTTAACCGAAAATCAGCAAAACAACGAACCAATTTCAGTCTCAGCAAATTCAAGAAAGTTATCTCATTTATCCAACCAATTGAACTCGGTAAGCGAAACAATCGACAAATTATTGGCCTATATCGAAACTACCTCTAATTCCGATAGTGATATCGATTTATTAAGATTGTTAAGCAACACCTTATTAAACAAACCCCAATACTTGACTGACTTAAAGGAATTAGAATATCACTTCCGTGCCCACAATCAAGATGTTATTATGATCGAATACTTGACTAAAGCTGTCAAGGAACAAATTGAGTTGAGTGCAAGGTTAACTGCCAGCTCAGAAGCTGATAAGAAATGAATTTAAGGGAGTCAATTTTTTATAATTCTTACAGTTTTATATATTAGTATTTAATAAACTACACATTCCGGTAAATTATATAGTTTTCCATTGTTGTAAAATGTTTGATTTGAATGTGTAGTTGAATTTTGTATGGTGATCAACTATTGTGGCTTGCTGAAATTTTCACAGCTCATCTCAAAATTTCTCACTATCAATACAGCTAAAACTTATCGAATAACCTTCTACTGGATATAGCATAACTAAATCGAGACGTATTAAGCTATATATATTAACTTACAACCGCTGTTTTTGAATATTAGTTATTTTAATTTGTAAACAATAAATCGGTGTTAAAGTTTCTTGTGGGTTATCAGAATTATAAAAGAACGGAACATATTAAGATTGTTTCTAATTCCATTGAGATATTATTAGAGTATTAACCAAGTGTTCAATATTATGTATCACTCAAACTTCAAAGATTCATTTATTTCAAAATTTCCTAATTCGAAGCATAGTCAAATCACTGTTTAACTTAGAATAAATCTTATTGAGGATAGAGATAACAACAGATAATACAAAACATTAATATTAAATATGGCTAAAAGTCCGAAAAAGTCGGGAGCTAAGTCGAGAGGAACTTCACGGCTGCAAGCACAGTTTAATAAAGCTGTACCATCAAAGGTTGGTGGGAAGAAAATAAAAGCATATAAGAAAAATTTCATTAAACCTCCCCAGAGACGATTTAGTATAGCTGATACAAGCTCATCAGCTTCCAATTCTGAATCAGAAAATGAAGGAACATATAATTATTATGAAACTAAGAACTTCAATTCAGGTTCAGACTCAGATTCTTCTTTAACTGCAGTAACAGATAATGATGAAGCTGAGGCATCGAGAAAAGGATCTGTATTCTTTGAGAGTGCTGATAATGAGGAATTATATAAAATGGCGAAGAGGTCTCCTAAGAAAAGTAAACAGACTAACAACAAGAATACGTATCAATCAACAAAATCTGCTAAAAAATCAAATAATGTTGCCAAGAAGAGAACACCTAAAAAAACCGTTAATTGGAATCAATGGGATAACGAAAATGCCATTTCAGATGGATCAGAATCTTCGACAGATGAAGCACAAGTTGGATTAGGGGGGTTATACTCTTTGATGAACCATCAAAAACAGCCTCAATCAGAATCTGATGACTCTGACTCAGAATCGGATGAAGAAGAACACGATTATTCGTCCTCTGATGACTCTGATGTTGACTTCGTGAAATTGCAGGCTGAGAGAAAAGCTAAATCGATGAAAGCAGTGAGGGCTATGAAAGGGTTATCTAAACAACAAAGAGATCAATACCACGATGATTCAGACTCAGAAATGTCTGAGCCTATACCAGAAAAAAAGATAAACAAAAATAGAAGGCGAAGTAGTTCTATGTCGAAACCAAAATTTGGCAGAAGAAAATCCGATGTAGCATTGCCAGATATAAACTTCACATTCGAATTCGATGATAAGTTTGACAATGCCATAATCGATGAAGAGGATGAAGAGGAAGAGGAAGATCAACAAAGGGAGATTACAAATGATCAATCTTTGATTGGAGGAGACCAGGAGGAAGATATTGGTGAGGAAGTAAGCTATGCTGCACCTAATCACAAGAAACAATATGCCTCCAATGATGACGATAATAATGACAATGCTACTAATCACAACTTTGAATTTGATTTCGATTTTAATGCACAATTACCCCAGGTTCCAAGAATCAATGATACGGAAATAAATTCTGACGAAGATTATGAAATTGATGATAATGAATTGCTAGCTACTTTGCAAGCAGATAATGATATGGATCAATTTTCTACACCAAATAATCAAAACACTCATACAAGAAATAATTCTATTGGATCGTATGGTGATGAAGAAGAAAATGATCCATTTTTGAAAGAAGAAGAAAAGTTTCTCGTTAATGAATTTGAGAATAATGGGTTTGATGAAGATGATTCGGTGTATATTGGAAGCTTTGATTACAATAACCCATCAGACAGGGACAACTTGATCGATTCGTTTAATGTGATGAATTCAAATCAGAACAAGGATGTAATTCAATACGCTAGTAGCGCTGATAGTAAATCTGATGACGATGACGAGGATGACGAAGATGACGAAGACGAATATGATGATTTTATTGACTTCGACGCTCCGTTATTTGATAAGGATGAAGAGGATGATTATGATGTCTATGAAGAATTCAAAGTAGATGAACATGATACTAGGAAACACTCGCAGCATAGGCAAAAGAGACTGAAGTCAAGCAAGAGATCCAATGGGATAGGCAATAGTGATGAAGAAGACGACTCTTATTTATGGAACTATTTCTTTAGTTCGGATAACAGTTCACTGAGTGGAGAGGATGAAGAGAATTATAGATATGATGATTCTGAAGAAAAAGTAATAATGGAAAAGCTTTTCAAAAATATTGAAAAAGAGAACCGTACCAAAAAGCTTATACGCCGCAAAAATAAGCCGATGGGGCTCGACAAGAACCATTACATACCATCCGATAATGAATATGAGAGTGGTGAATCTACTGACGTAGACTTGAGCCTTCCGCCTTCCACGCTTAAGAAATCTGGCTCCAAAATTGCAAAGGAAGTTTTATCTTCCAAGACAGCTGACTATAGACCTCCGGTATTAGGTACTTGGGCTGCAATTGACAGCAAGCCATTTGGAATTATTGATGGTTTATCAACAAGGTCTTTGGGCAATAATGTAACTGGTAATAATTTTAACAATAAGCAAATGGAACCTAGACTGCTTGCACGAAAAGGAGCCTCTCAACTACATACGAATACAACAGATGACCTGGCATTGGGTTTAGATGAACTCTTGAATGTCAGTGAATTGGATGATGATGATGAGAATGATGCTCAGATATGGAGAGATTTCAATAATCAGAAGAAGCAAGTCCCGTTGGGTGCATTTCGTAATAAATCCATTCTACAAAATCAATTAATTCATCCAGAGAATATTACCGTACCCAACAATTCCTCGTATAACCATACCAGCAAGTCCAACAATGAATTCAATAGAAGAAGATATTCGTTATCAAACCATCAAGATAGCGGTTCCAGGAGAAGCAACCTGATCACAAAGCACGCAAACGTGAAAAAGCCTGTGCATGATCGCAAATCATCATTTTCCCATTTGCCTCCCCTGAACATTGATTCATCCAACAAGAGCATACCTTCCAAACTTAAAAGAAGACGTGCATCTATCGTGGAAGCGGTCTCCGAAGGTTTCAGACCAACCAAATCAGGTCTTTTCAGTGAAGATGCCTTGGCTGATGTTGAAGAAATCCTCGGTGAAGATACGGATTTAATGGGTTTAATAAAGGGCTTGTGATGAATATTAACATAATTTCAGTGATAAATAATTTTAAGTTCTACACTATATACGTTATTAGTTTTTGTAACAATATTTACTTATGGATTGTATGTATTCTTTATGCTGGTGTTCACAGTAGTAGTCATTACCAAAATAATCGGAGCGTGTCATTACCAAATAGTGGCGGCAATGGAAACAGTAATTTTTTTCAACATAAACATATACAAGTAGTTATATTATACCATCATAATTAAAATCCAGTATCTGTGGGTATCTATCAAAAGAGTCTGGTTTCGGACATATTAATAATTGTAATTGTACCCCAATCAACATCGACATTATAATATCACTCAATACATATTATATTCTCTGATATAATACATAGACCATCAGCGAAAGCATCTTTCATAATATTATAACAAAACAAGTAATAGTAACATCGTATCTTCAAATACATTTGTTATTATTTATATATATAAACATACATAAAGGAGTTTTTAGTAACTTTGATTATTCAAGCGCTTAAACGAAAGTAAACTGCCAACCAATTGAAAGTATAATGTCTACGAGACGTTCCTCGAGGGTTAATAAAGGACAACATAGCAAAAGAGAGATAGATTTCTACGAGGATGTGGAGGATTTTCCATCGGATAGGAAGAGACTGTTGAGTAATAGCTCGCAAGATAATAAAAGGCCACACTTGGACCATGACGAAGATGATGGAGATTACAAGGAGGATGGTGAAGAAAGAAAAGACGACGATATAGATGACGAAGGAGAAGTTAGGTGTACACCATGTGGCACAACAAGTGAAAATTATGATGAAGATAGCGACCAAGGAGGTACGATGATTGAATGTGAATCTTGCAAAACCTGGCAACATGCTAAGTGTATGGGCTATAGGACTTCGAAAGCAATTCCAAAACATTACAAATGTAATATTTGTAGTGGACTGGATAGTAAAAAGACGGAAAAGAGTACTGTTGAATCATCTAGTTTTAGTGAAAAATTGAAAGATAAGACAAGGGCAAGCGTGGCAAAGGCCTTCGTTAATGTTTTCAAGAGGAATATCCCCGAATCATATAACTTTCCTGAAGGAATGGATAACGAAAAATTATCATCAAAATGGGCAATCCAATTGGAGAGAGAAATCTTCGTTTGGTGTCCTAAGAAGGATAAGAAATATACGGACAAAAGTCGTAGTCTTATGGTTTTAATCAAGAAACCAAATGTTATGTCTCGTATAATCGATGGTGAATTATCCTTTACAAAGTTAGTCAATTCGTCGCCCGAAGAAATTGACAGTGAATTAAAGGAATATGCTGAAAAAGTAAGACTGGAATCAATTCGTCGTTCAGTTTTAACAGTAGATTCAAGTCAAGGTCAAAGAATTAGGAGGACTCATAAAGGTGAAGAAATAGTCGAGGACGCAAATAACCAACAAGAAGATGTTGATATTAGCATAATGACAAGAAACATTGATCACCGTAGATTTGAAGATAAAGAACCTCCAAGAGAAATTATAGTTAACGATAATAATAAAGCAGCAGCATATAGTAACTATATGGAGGATGAAGATGAAGAAGAAGAAGAGGAACAAAAATCAGAAGAAAAAGGATTCGATAAGGAAGGATCCACCTCAGATGATAAGGAGGGGTTACCTCTGAGCGACATTGATGATGTTCCCGATTTGGATGATGAAGAATTAGATTTCATTATTAAAGGAAAAAAAGAATCAAAAGTTGAGACGAAAAAACCTCTGAATGTTAAGTTACCACCTATTCTATCATCAAAGATATGGTCAGGGCGTATTACATTTCCTGATTTTGCATCATTTAGTGCTAGTGGTGAATTTTACACTAGTTCAAACTACAAGAACCCAACGAACCTGCAAGAAGTTAAACTTCATAATCGATTCATTAATATTTCAAAGGAAATACTTTCTAAGGACCATTATGAAGTCGAAGGACGATTGGATAGAACAAGGGCAGATGCTTACTTAGACAAGATTATAACGACACGAGATTTGATTCTAGTTGAGATCACATGCACCGAGAATCAGAATGGATATGATAAATTATACAGGTATTTGCTTGAAAAAAACAAAGTAGGAGTTTTATCCGGTAGACCAGCATTTGTCAAGGATGCGTACTTGCTAGGCATAGATGGAAACGATTTCAACTTACCGGAATATTTAAAATCTCTTCATAGGATAGTTGGAAAAGTCGGCTTGTTCGCATTATATATCGTTAAGAAGGATTATATACCCACCGGCCCAAGTATACTTAAAAAGTCGACACCCGCAGCTACGAACTATAACTCACATAATTCTAATACATCTTCTAAAGAGAAGACTCCTTTATTGGATTCAATTTTATATAAGCTTGGGGGAAACGATATTAAAAAAGAAAATATTCAAATTCAAACTCCCCAATATCATTCAACACTTTCGCAAAATGGGTTACCTGCTAATTTAACGACGGACCAGCTTTCGTATTTATCAGGGTTGGTTCAACAAAATCCCCATGTTCAACAAAATCCACAAGCATTAATTCAGTTGTTGCAACAGCAAAAAAACTCTGATTATTCTGCTTATCATTAACTTATGTTCCATAGATATGTATAATATTGTATAGCTTTTTAGCCTTTAATTTCCTATAATTTCTAATCTAGTGGAGCTGACCCCTTATTTTATTGTTTATCATCCTATAAGTAATTTGTTTAAATATTGTTTTAATATATGAATCTTCTTTGTGCAACTATAGAATAATTTTGGTACTCTCAATAAAGTTCTGTAGAAATTACAGCTGAAATCAGCTTGATATTGTTTTAATATTTTATTAATGTCTAAAGTTACATCTTATGGAGAAAAGCAGTAATAGTTTAGTTGGTTTGAATATTGAGGATTCGACAGTTCACAATCAAACTCCAAGGAAATTATCAGATCAGTCGCAAAATGATATGAATAGTAGCTTGATATTTGGGAATGAGATCACTTCTAAAAGTATTGAAACACAAAATGATAACATAGAGGAGAAACCACTTGGTTTTGGAAATAGATCAAACGAAAATATTATTCGTAAACAAACATTGGTTAAAGTAGCTCCAACGCAGAATGATACTACGTTTGAACTATTACAAAACCCGAACGATACTCCATTTCTTTCTAAACTAAAAGATCCTTTTGAGGACACATATAATGAATCATTGCAGAAACTAAGTATAGACACTCCTTTGAATAAAAAAATTGGTTCTCAATTTGATGACTCCAATCCACTACAAATTAAATTAACTCAGAAATATAATTTTGAGACTCTTCGTAACGAAGCTGATAATTCATGTCTAGAGTATGAAACCCAAGGGAATGAGACAATAATTGGTAATGATACGAATGTAATTTCTAACGATGCTGATACGCAAGTAATTAATAATATGCCAGAGTATGATTCTTTGAAATTTGCAGCGAATGCAAATAAACTTAGTAAATCGAATGATTTTATATTCAATGAAGAAACACAGGTTGATCCTAATAAACATAAATATCATCTTGAAACCGATACACAAATAATTAATCAGAAGTTGGACGATACACAGGTGATATCTCCTCCTTCTCAAAAAGATTACAATATAGCAACAACCAGACTAGAAGCAAATGATGGCAACGTAACTTCGTCTAGTCCTCAAAATGCGATACAAATACCCAGTACAATAGAAAAGCTCCCATTATCTAGGCCACAAGTCGTGAATACCCAAGAAGAAGAGCCCGATAGCACTCCTAGTAACAGGAAAGTTGACCTTTCTACCCGACCTGTATACTCTAGTAGTCAAAGACTGGCAGAAGAGGAGGAAGAAGTAAGGACTGATGATGAAAAGGATAAGGATAGAATAAATCCACAAGAATTATACTATGACGATAGTTTATTGACACACCATCTAAGGCGTAAGAGAAGTCTATCTAATCCCGAAAGTAGCAGTGAAAAAATAATCAAGGTTTCACCGAATAAAGATATCAATGAAAATCTGGATAATGTAGCGCCGCTTAATAACATGTCTAAGACTCCATTATCGCTAAAAAGTAAGCATCATAATCAAGTTGCTTTTTCGCCTACCGAGATTGATGAATCGTCCCCAGGTATCAAAAGGGCAGATATTTTGGGATTTCCAAGCAAATCATCACCTCAAAATGATAACATCGCCTCTAATGCCAATGATGGTGAAATAAATGAGATATCAACTCAACCAAATCTACCCTCTTCACCTACAAAGGAACGATCAAGATTAGAAATGGAGATGAAATTTTCAAAAGTAAGGCGTAATGAATTGAAGCACGCTGTGAAAGAACGTGAAATAAATTCAGAAGACAACAGCTCTGAATTGGAAGATATTGACTTAGAGCATTTCGATAATAATGATTCAGCACCTAGTATTAAACGAAAATGCAGATCCATAACAGTCTCATCGTCGCAGTCTCAAGATGAATTGCATGTTCACAAAGATTCAAGCCAGGTTACTGCTATGGATATAGAAGTGGATGATCAAAAGCGAGAGAAAAATGTATTAGGTAATGTGCTAATAGAAGAGACCCTGAACGTTCTCACACAAACTGATATTTATTATATGGAAAGCGTTTGGGTATCATTCAAATTTAATATGTATACAGGCAAAATAACCCGGGTTGGGCATGAAAATCTGATAGTAGAATTTGAAGAAGGGAGTTATTCCATTAAGAATTCAGACTTATATTTGCTTGACATCAGAATTGGCGATAAACTTAGAACAAGATCATCAAAATACAAATTTGTTGTTACAGGATTGACTTACCGTGAGAATGGGGATAACATTAAATGTATTCGAGGATATAATATAGTATCTTTAAGAAGACTATCGAAAGCTAAAGGTAAGAAATTCGAAGAGCTAGAGACAAACTTATCAGAATGTTATATGGAGCTCTCAGATTGGATTCACCATCAGCAAATGTTTCAGTTTTTGCTTGATGGCCAGGATTTATTAAAGCAGGATGCTACGAATATTTTTTTGAATAGTCCTAGTTTCGGCATACATAGGACACCGTCAAGAAGCACACGGTATTCTATTACCCCTGATGTTATTGAATACGATTTGAAATATGGAAGCGGTCCAGTAAGTAGTCCATCAAGGAAGACTGAATCAAAGATAGTAAACGGAGGTACTTTAACAAAATTGGGTTCTGGTGGACTATTTTCAGGAATGGTGTTTTGTCTTACGTTTGGCAAGAGTATTGACAAGGACAAGAAAGATAAAATTAGGACAGCAATTGAAAATAATGGGGGCTCATTACTTGATGAAGGACTTCACGATATTCTACAGTATTGCAAAAATGAAAATGGCTCATTGAAGCTCGAATCCCCGGTATTGTCAGAATTTTCTTTTGGGGCAGTTATTTCAAATACATTTTGTCGTAGCGCAAAGTATTTACAAGCGCTTGCTTTAGGTTGGCCAATATTGTCGGATTATTATATCTTTGATTGCCTCAAAGACAATAAACGATTAACTAAGTGGCCAGTATATTTATTGCCTGCGGGCCAATCAAAATTCTTGAGTAGTATTAAGAGCTTAGAGATTTTTAAATTTAGAGAAAATTATGAAAGCAATAAAGAATTATCTCAACAATTGAAAAATAACAATCACCTATTGCAAGATGTCTTTATTATTGTTGTAAATAATAAAGCAAATATTAAGACTTTACAAACCTGCGAGTTTATATTTTATGCATTTGGAGCGAAATCCTTAAAGCACTGTTCGTCTGTCAGCGAGATAGCCAACGTAATTGAACAATGTGGGGATACTTCGATATTAGTATATGATAATAATGAGACGATTAAGCAAGATATGAAAGTATTAAAATCTGAACTTACGGGAGGGACTCGTACTAGATCTCAATCACGGGCTAATAAGAAGCAAAACTCAGATAAACGATTACTGATAGCGACCACTAAAGAAAAGAATATAGGATTTATTAATTGGGAATGGGTAGTACAGTGTGTTATTAGTGGATATATTTGGGATCCGGAATATATATAATTGCTCTATATGGTATTTCTAGTTGGGCGTTAAACAATCATTATTCATTAATTTATAGTCTATAGAAATGATGTATTTAATATAATAGGCATTTAGACTAAGCGTAATAACCGCTTAAACAATACGCCTATAACGCCTTTGATTAAATTAAATCCACTGTCAGCTCTAACAGCATCACCATTTTCCTCTAAGCGTCTAAGTAAATATTCTTTGGTTTCTAAAGGAGGGCCCCAAGCAACATATTTAATGACATTATCAACATTATGAGTCTTGATCAAGTTATGAGTAATATTATCAGCCATACCTAATAATTGACCTAAAATAACGTTATTTTTGTTCTTGTTATCAGCCAGAGTAGATTTATTCAATCTTTCAGTAGCTAGTTTTAACGAGTCAGCATTATGAGATGCCACTACTAAATGTCCAATTGTCAATTCATTTTCCTTATTGGCCAAAATAGACTCAATACAATAAGTGATACCTTGATTGTAGTTCAAATCTGTATCTTCTTTTGTTTTATGAATGACCTCTCTGTTCTTCTCTGAGTGAATATAAGCACCCCTAACCAATTTTAAACCTAATCTATAATTGTTTTCGATAGCTAATTTCTCTTCTAAAGCTAATAAATCAGACGAGCCTGCTAAATACATCTGTAATGTACCAACGATAGAAACAGGCTTATTAGCTGGGTTATATTTAGCATACAATCTTCTTTGTAATTCATAGACACCTTCTTGTAATTCGTGTTTCTCGGCATCGATAACACCTACAATAAATGGTGCAGTCCTATCAGGAAATTTTTGCGATAATTTTAAGTTTTCCTCGTAAATTGTTCCGCAAACATTCGACGCCTTATCAACCAATTCTTCGAACATTGCTGCGTAATGAGGGTCAGTTTTATAGTATTTTAACACATTTGACGCATCTTTTGCAAACCCAGTTGGCTTCAATGCAACGTATCCTGGAGGGATGGAATTAATATCCTTCCCGGATTCCTTAATCATAGTTAATATGTGCGGAATTAAGATCTCGGTGACCGAACGTTGAGTTTCGCTGACTATAAATTCGGGATCTACGTTATCATTCCCATTACATGCTTCAATAGTTAATGAAAGCATCATATTGTTGATACCTCTCTTGCTTAAGCGTATTCCTGTCTGCTTAACCTCTTCAATCTTCTCTCCACCACAGTATAATTTGTATACCAATGCCTTAATGACCGGCATAGGCACATATGGAAACATCTTAATACACATATTCAATATTGGTTTATTTAATGTTGCTGCCCCAATAACCATGTAAGATAACAACTCACTTACCTTGAAATCCTTCAAATAAGCCGTAGTGTCAGGAATTTTGAAGCTCTCATGGTCAATGCCAACCTTAGCAAGACCGGTCGCAGTTGAGCTGCTTCTTCCTGCTTGCTCCTGTGGGATGTTAACACCAAATGTGCCATTCAGCTTATTTGGAGACTCATGGAATAATCTTTGGTAGCCTGCGCCTGGGATTACTTTCTTTAAAGAAGGGATGCAACTTTTAATACCAACTCTAGTAGCACTTCTAGCAACTAATGTCATTTATTTTGTTATAACGATAGCTTTTATTATTCTTATAATATAGTGAACGAAGAACAACAACAGGGATATGGCCATTTATTTATATTCAAAGTAGTCATCACTGTATGGCTATCAACGGCGAAGGCATTTAAATTTGCAACCGTTTGCGATGTGCGAAAAAAGGTGATGGTAAGCGAGCAAACAAAAAGGGGTGATGTATGGATTATGGTGTAAGGATCTCATAGGCCGTTATGCACCTGACGTGATGAATATGAAAAATTTGTACTATAGTAAATACAGAAGATATAGATAACTTGTAGCAGCGGGGATATGTTGACACGAAGTATACATAAGCCATCTGGGAGTTTGCTATTGAATAATATTATAAGTATAAGGCAACTTTCAGCGAGTAAGAGGGCATGGGGAAATGATAAGATTAATATTCCATCGGTGATACTAGACGAATTGAGAGACACATCAAAGATAGCACCATCACCCAAAAATGGAGATACAAATAAAAAGATTTTGATATTAGATCCGAGCCAGACAGCTGATAGAAAGTTTCGTAAGTTAGTTGATTTGCATTCGGAGACAGATTCTTATAAAAAGCATTTTATTGCACCTATCAATATATTTCAAGATGAGATAAAGCTAGAAACTTCTGGGGGCTCTATCAATAGTTCAATAGAAAACTTGAAACCCAACAGTAACGAAATAACAATAACCAAGTTCGATTCATTAAGAAAGACGCTTAGTAAATCATTTACCAAAGCACAATTGAGAGACTATATTACAGAAACTTATACCCAGACAAGCTTTAAAGGAACCAAGAAAGGTATTTCGAGTATAAACAAAGATAAGCTCTCAAGAATAATCATTGAAGATATATGGGTGATTGGAAAGTCAGACAAACTATCAACGTTGGAAGATTTATTAATCACGAACTCTGTGAAGTTGAGTAAACCGGAATTATTTTTGTTGTTACTGCAAAATGGCTTCATATTGCAATATCTCTCCAGGGTAGGAGCAAAGGTATCATTTGATACAGAGCAGGAAAAGATTAAGTTTACAGGAACTGAATATCAGGTTACTAATGCGGAAATTATCCTTAATTTGATCTTAAATAAGTCACACAAGGAAACTTTGAACTTAAATACAATAAAACGATTATTCCTTGAAAAATACAGTGAATTTTCCTTAGAAAAGATTGTTAAAAATACTGAAGTGTATTTTAACCAATTGAATAACGACAATTATGAATTATTTGCATTAAACGAAAATCAGATTAAGAAATCCAAACGATTATTATTATGGTCATTGAATTATAATAAGCACTTGCGTGAAATGATAGTCTTGCCAGATAGTTTGGATAATTTAGAATTTGTCCCTTACAAAGATGATGATTCATTATCCTGGAATAATAGACAACTGAATTTATTTCTTTTGCGAAGCTTGAAATTAAAAGAAGCTAGCGACTATATGATCAAACAATTGAATAAATACTCGGATGAAAATTTGATGAATAATGATTTAAACTTTGAAGATTCTATAGAAAATGTTAAATCATTTCCACTTGGTAAACAAAAATCTGATGACCAACTAGAAAAGGAAAGCTGGAGGCTACTTAATGATTTAGGTATTACATTAGATAATTTTGAAGTAGAAGAAGATAAGAAGGATATATTGCATGAAGAGGTGGATGAAAAACCGATTTCGAAACCGACAATTGAGCCTATTTATGAGAAAGGTCCTCAAGATAAGAAGGAGGAATTAATTTTAAGTGCTAAAAAGAAGGAAGAAGTATATAATAAGTTGATTGATTTCAGCTACAGGAATGAATTAAATGGCTTAAAGGGAGATAAATTAAACCATCCAATATTTACAGTGACATTAGGAAATCTTTTATTTGAGAATACTTCTGATTCACACAATAAATTGATAGCGAATAACCCTGAGATGACAAGTCAAATTGGTGAGAATTATAAATTTAATTCGAACATCCAATTGGTAAATGATAAGGTGTTATCATTACCGCCATACAACAATTTTTCACTTAATCCACAAGAAATTAATCATTACTTGAATAATGACCCGCACAATTATGTTATTCAATTGAAATTCTTACCATCCCCTTTTTTGGATGATAAATTAAGTTCCAAGGATATAGATTATCAAATGAAATACCCCCCCGTGGAAATTTGGATTGAATTGAACGAAAAATCGAAACCTGATATTGAAACGATGAATATAGTGACAGTAGAAGGTGAAAATAATTGTTACATTTCATTACCAAATGAAAAGTCTGATATGAAGGTATGTTGCCAATTATCGGGAGATGTTCTAGGCCAGGATAATACCAATGAAGTTACCGAGCCTGAAAGTGAAAATATTGAAGATATTTTGAATGCAACAACAACTAGATATTCGAGGTTTGCTAGTCAGCCTGGGGTGTCAGAATTTTTGAGGAACTCAAAACTAGACTTTAGTGGTAGGGTGGCTACTTCTATAGCACCATCCATCGACCTTATTATAAATGGTGAAACTGTCAGGTACCATTACATAAACGTCTCTTTTAGAAGACAATTAGATTTAAATTATGGACCACCTGAAAATGGAAGATTAGTTCAATTTAATTTAGTTGAAGGAGGGTCTTTGGGTGGAAGAAAGTTAGAAGTAAACCTAGTTGGAGATATAACTGGAGACTTGAATAAAGAGCAGTTTGATAGACTAATCAACGATTCAACAAGATTAATTAGCGAATTGTGACTGTAAATAGGTTTTGCATTTTTGTATATAGATTACTATAAATATTAGCTACATCACTCGTAATTCATCATTACATTCAATAAATAACATTTATTATAGGTTGGAACATACTATTTTGATATTTGCTCTCTACCTTTGTTGAGTAGGACGACGAATCTTACTTGCAATTATTTCTTGGATTCTTCCAATAATTTGACATGCTTCTCTAAATTACTAATTGATGATTGTAGAGCAACAACATCTGCAACAACGACATTGTTAGCTTGTTTGTATTCTTCCAATAAGTAGTAGTAAGAACCGGCACCTGTTAAGGTAACACCAACCAAAAATCCTAAAAATCCGCCTCTGAAAGCACCAACCTTTCTAGGTTGTGACACAGTAGAATAAGAACGAATTGAAGACTTGGTTATTTGACGAGTTAAGGCAAGCATGATAACTTTGTGAATCGATTGATTTGGATAATCCTTAAGGAAGAGAAATTTTCGATTTCACATTCGTTTTCGAGAAACTAAGTCCGGGACAGAAATCTCAATTTTGTTAAGGTTGGTAAAATCATCAGAAACACCGTTCTCTATATTCACAGTCATATTTCCTATCTAGAATAAGAATACTAAACACACACCTTTATCAACTAGGGATCAATTCATATCAATTCGTGAACAAGTGATTAATGGTAGGCATCATGTTTGTTTACAGGAATAGAGGTGTACTTGGTTTCTCCAGATCGAGCAAGATACGAAGTAACTTAATCATACGAACACCAAATGTGGCATATCTGACAATTAATGGTAGTCAAAAGGGAACGAAGTCGACATCTTATCGATATTTCATACGTCCTGCAATAATAATAGTGGGTCTAGGTGGTTCAGCATATTTAATAGATAGATATGCATATTCATCTGTGATAACTAGATCCGTAAGGGCACTATATACTATGTTATGGATAGCTTATGAATATTCCCGAAATACTGCCAAATATGAAACGATGAGTGATTTACATGATGTTGCGGCAGAGAGGTTGTTGAATATGCTAAGAACAAACAGGGGCCTTTATATCAAGCTCGGTCAGGCAATTGCTAACCAAGGAGATTTCTTTCCCAAGGAATATCAAAAGAGATTTGTCAAGTTATATGATGATGCGCCGGTAGATACATGGGATCAGGTTGATAAAGTATTGAGAAAGAATTTAGGTGAGAATTATGAGACGGAAGTATTCGAATGTATTGATTATAATCCGGTTGCAAGCGCTTCTATTGCACAAGTACACAAGGGCAAATTGAAACCCCATGGTGAGGCTGTAGCCATTAAAGTACAACATCCCTATATTAATGAGCAGATAGTTATTGATCTATTCATGTACAAATTGATTTCTAAGATTTATGAAAGGGTATTTAATATACCTCTATCATTTTTCACGAAATATGTATCAGAACAGTTGATTGAAGAAGCGGATTTTGTAAATGAAATGAAAAATGCCAGCAAATTGAGGGAAATAATCAAAGAAGATAAAAGTATGAACAATACCAATATCTATATCCCACATAATTATTCTGATTTATCAAAACGACAAGTCCTCATAACTGAATGGTGTGATGGGATTCCTCTTGCAGACAAAGATACATTAATTGCTTCTGATATTGATTTAACTGTAACTATGAAGCAGTATATCAAGGCATTTGGTAAGCAAATTTTTGAATATGGATTCATTCATTCGGACCCCCATCCAGGAAATCTCTTGGCTAGATTTGATAGTGAGGGAAAGCAGCAACTTGTGATATTGGACCACGGGCTTTACATTTCTCTCCCTAATAGATTTCGTATCGAAAACTGTAAACTTTGGGAATATTTATTCTCGTTCAATACTGATGGAATCGAAGAAATAGGCCGCGAATGGGGAATTGGCTCTACCGAATTATTTGCAACTTTGGTTCAATTGAGGCCACTTAAGATGACCCCCCAATCTACTAATAGAAGTGAGTCTGATATTAATAATTTGTTACATGATTTTTTAAGTGATGAAGAGAACTTCCCGGTTGAGCTTTTATTTTTAATGAGAAATATGCGAATGATTCAAAATTTAAATCGAAACTTTGGCAGTCCAGTTAATCGAATTAACTTGTTAACGAGTGAGCTGATAAATGCATTAATACTTGAAAATTCTCACTCTGTTTCAACTGCAAGTGCAAAGATTTTACAGTATTTCAAGTTATTCAAGGTTAGATGTGTCTTATTTGTCAGCAATTTGGCTTTTTATTTGGTAAGACTTAGACAGGTTTTATCTGGTGACAAATACGGCGATAAAAACATTGGGATTGAGGATTATCTTGAAGTATATCTTCAAAATACTGCACTGTCACTAGGTATAGATTGGACATAGATATAATGCACGATATAAAATTAATGTATCACAAAACCGTAATTCTTAAAAAAATTTTGAGATGCCCTTTAAGAATATGTATAGAATAGACTTAGAAAGAGATTAGCATTCAGTATATAGAGATGGACTCGTTAAGAACAGCCTTTGTTAATCAAGATATAGAACCATTTTATATTGGGGGCATATCTGCTAGTGTTTCTGCAAATGGGGAAATATTGGCTACGCCGATCAATGAAGATGTAGTCATAACTGATTTATCTACCAATGAGATCATACATAAGATTGAAGGAGATGGAGAACTTATTACAAACTTAGTGATTACACCCGATGCAAAGAAATTAGCTATATTATCTCAGTCACAGCAGTTACGTATTTTTGATTTGAATGAAGGTCAGATTAGTAAAACTTTCAAGATGTCATCACCAGTATACATGTCAGCTGTGGACAACACATCAACATTATTTGCATTTGGAGGTTCCGATGGGGTAATCACAGTGTGGGATATTGAAGGTGGATACGTAACACATTCTTTGAAAGGTCATGGTGTTACAATTTGTTCGTTGACTTTTTATGGTGAACTTAATTCGTCGAATTGGAAATTGGCTAGTGGGGATATCATGGGTACCGTTAAGATATGGGACTTGGTTAAAAGGAAATGCATTTCAACTATAAACGAACATAATTCGGCCGTTAGAGGTGTAGCATTTAATGAGAGTGGGGAATATTTCATAACTGGTGGCAGAGACCAAGTAGCGATTATCTATAATACTAAAAATTTCAAAGCACTTAAAACATTTCCAGTAAAAGATCAAATTGAAAATGCAGGCTTTATAGAATTGCCATGGAGTAGAAATAATGATAATTTATATTTCTACACTGCAGGTTCTGAGAACATCTTAAAAATTTGGAATTTTGATAGCGGTAAATTAGTTGCCCAAACCACAACACCATTACAAACTAACGAAGAGTTAATGATCATCGACGTTTTAGAATTGGAAGATAACCGCTTAATGTTAGTTATCAGTGATCAAACTTTGGCATTTGTTGACACGAATCAATATAATGACGAATCAGAGGTAGTCGAAATAAATATTATTAATAGAATTGCAGGTAACCACGGAACCATTGCAGATATAAGATATGTTGGTCCTGATTTTCAATTTCTTGCATTAGCCACTAACTCACCTTCATTAAGAATTTTAAACCCGGATAGACCTTTCGAATTGAATATATGCGAGGGCCATACCGATTTGCTTAATGCAATCGATGTTTCACTTGATGGGATGTGGATAGCTACAGCGTCTAAAGATAATGAGGCTAGATTGTGGAGATGGAATGATGACTCCTTTGAGGAATATGCTGTATTCCATGGCCACGCAGGTGCAGTTACGGCGATAAGTTTACCTAAATCTTCAAGCCAAGAGTTTCCACCATTTATCATCACTGGATCGAGTGACTTGACTGTTAAGAAATGGAAAGTTCCTAAACCTACAGGCTCAGTCCAGGTTGTTAAAACTTCAGAATATACAAGAAGAGCACACGAAAAAGACATAAATTCAATAGATGTTTCACCTAATGATGAATTTTTTGCTACTGCCTCTTATGATAAATTAGGAAAAGTGTGGAATTTGGAGAGTGGTGAAACAGTTGGTGTATTGAAGGGACACAAGAGAGGATTATGGGACATAAACTTCTGCAAATATGACAAATTAATTGCAACTAGTAGTGGTGATAAAACGGTTAAATTATGGTCTTTGAATGACTTCACCTGCACCAAAACATTTGAAGGACATACAAATGCTGTACAAAGGGTAAGATTTTTCAATAAGAACCAACAGATTATTTCTACCGGTGCTGATGGTCTAATAAAATTATGGGACGTTAAAGATGTAGCAGGTGAATGTTTAAAAACGATAGATAACCATGATAATAGAATTTGGGCTCTTGATATAAAAGATGATGGATTAGAAATGGTATCAGCTGATGCCGATGGGCAGTTATCTATTTGGACAGATAATACTGACGAGTTCTTGCAAGAACAGGAAGCACAACAGAAGACTAAGATTGAACAAGAACAAAAATTGACCAACTATATTACCTCAAAGGATTGGTCGAGTGCATTTTTATTAGCATTGACTTTAGATCACCCTATGAGATTGTATAATGTGATCAAATCATCGATTAATTTGAATGAGGATCCTAATAGCGCTATTGGGTCTTTCAAGTTAGAAGCCACAATTGGACAGTTAGCATCGGAACAACTTCTCAAATTTTTTAAGAAAATAAGGGACTGGAATGTCAATGGTAAGTTTTTCGAAATAAGCCAGAAGCTTATCACAGTTATTTTACATAAGTTTGAAATTGAGACCTTGATTGAAATCCCAGGATTAATGAAGCTAGTTGACTCAATTATTCCTTATAGTGAACGTCATTTCACAAGAATTGATGATCTTATTGAGCAAAGCTTTATGTTAGATTATACAGTCAAAGAGATGGATAAATTAGATTAAGATATTCAATTGCTCATATACTTTACATTTTGATTGGTTCATGAAGATAAAATGTATATATAGTTAATTATATAGTCTTGTAATATAAACAACAAGAATGCAATAAATCAATTTCCTTATTTACATAACCCAATCACGCTTTCAGCCAAGGCTTCAATTCGAAGAAACAGGTTTAGACACAAATACAGAAAAAAAATAGTTGCAAAATCACGCCGAGATATACAGATACCAATTTAAAGAGAATATTTTACAAGAGAATAAGATTATGATGAAGCTCTCGGATACGAAAGTAAGTATACTGGAAAGAGAATAATATCAAACAGAAACTAATATATTAGCTTACACCAGAACAAATAAGACAGCTTAGAATCAACAAAAAGGGCATAGCTTTCAATCTATTGTTGATTGGAGAAAATGGGATAGGAAAAAAAACCTTTATTAATACTTTATGCAACCAGCAAGTATTTGATGAAGATTCCAAGCCATCTTATAACAATGAACTTAGCATTGAATCTAAAACTATAAGTACGTATGCGTTCTTTCGTAAGCAAGAGACAAGTGACTAATACAAGTAGATGTTACTGAACCGGATAGCATTCCTATTCAACTTGAAGTCAATTATACCCGGAATTTTAATCTGAAACTTGAGAATAATGCAACAGGGAAATTCATTACTTCATTTATTGAAAATGAATATAAGCTAATATTAGATGAGGAGTTGCGGATTAATAGAAACCCTCACAAGAAAGACAGGAGAATCCATTTAGTTATTTATTTTATCAGGCCTACTGGTAGAGGGCTTAGTGCACTTGATATACTTGTTCTTCAAAGCATAAGTGCTAGGGTGAATGTGATTCCCATAATTTCCAAGTGTGATACTCTTACTGAAAATGAATTATTCTTGAATAAGAAACTTATTATAGAAAATATTAAGTTGCATAATATAAATATATTTAGTTTTGAAGATGATGAAGAATTTCAATCATTACAGGATAGGTTACCTTTCGGTATTATTTCTAGTAATGTCGTTAAAAATGGAAATCATGTCCGAAACTATCCTTGGGGACTGTTGGTGATTGAAGAGAGTGATTGTGATTTTAATTTATTTAAAAATATTCTATTCGGCTCTCACTTGCAAGAATTCAAAGATCAAACGATCAATTTAAAGTACGAAAATTACAGATGGGAACAGTTGTCCAATCAAAGAAGTAATTAGTTTTATAATATAAATTAAAATTATATGACTCGGCGCATACAGGTTTATGATTGCAATATTTCGATGTTCATTAGCTTTGTTGCAAATATAATTCAATATCCGATGAGTCAATAGACGGCATGTATGAGCCGTGCAATAAACGAGATGTATACCCAAGAAATCTACTAGTATATATTCTGCATTTCATGAGAGGTATTGCAGTCGTAGAACCGCTACATAGATAATAATAATCATCATCAACATTGCGCACTATTCATTATATTTATTATGTTTGGCCATTCCGCAATATAGTAGGGATTACGCCAATTGTTTGAAGTAAAGTAAGTTAGGAAATGAGGAAAAAAGAGTAAGGATAGTACCTATATCATAATACAACGTAGAATTAAAATGTTAATGTTTTTCATCATCATCATCATTGGAATTAGAATCTGAATCGGGCTTACTCTTCTTTCTCAGTTTTGATAAATTTTCATACCCGAGGCAAACCTTCTTAGACCGTTCACAATTAAAACAATAAGGCTTTCGTTCATCACATTTGATTCTCCTTTTGCGACAAGTAAGGCAACCAGTTCTTGTTCTTCTTTTAATTATTCTTCTTTTATTAACCAACGCGTTATTTTCTTCTACCTGGTTATATGGAAGCTGTGAATATACCGGGTAGTAAACCGGTTGTTGAACTGAATATGGCATCATTTGATAGTCGTAAGTCCCATTATAAGCCGGTTGTCCCGAATTCGCTCCACCATGTACACCAGGAGGACCCGAATGACTTTGATTATACATGGGATGTACAAAATTTATCTGCTGATTCACATACCCTTCAGGCTGAGTGGGATTGTGATGTCCAGTAGGTACATTGTGCGTCGGAGGGGACCTTTAGGCGGACTCGTTATTTGATTATGTTGCCCTGTATAAATCTGCCTACCCGGCTGACTTGTTCCCTGAACACTGCCATAGTAGTCCTGACTATGGTAAGTGACTGGAGCTTGTGGAAGACTAGCTGATCTGTTGGAAAGAAAGTGGTCGTTGGTAGGGCCACCCAGAACGCTTTGGCCAGTCCCTGAGCTTCCCGAGCCACTCACCTGAGCTCCCGCATATGCCAGAGGAGATACTTGTACAGGCGTTATGGCAGACATCGAGTTTATAGTCGGGACGTTAGTCATCTTCGGTCCTCCCATAGCTCCCGCCTGGGATTCACTTGGTCCCTGGCTCACACTATTCTGCCTTGACGTATGCTGAAGATGCCCTATGCTATCGTGACGTTGTCCTATGCTGTCATGGCGATATATGGACGTCGGGATGTTAGATGTATTTGTAGATGATTTGCGAGAAACTGAGTCTATAGAGGACGATATCGATTGCCGATGTGGACTGTAGTAGTTGAAGTAGTCGATATTTGAATCTGAAAGCCTGTTAGGATTCCGAGGCTTTACAAGGGGTGGTGAGGTATTGTCCACCGGGTTCGAGAGGGAGGTCGACGACGATATCCTAGGTAGTGGTGTCGGCGGTGTTTTATCTTGCTTGTTATGAAGCGGATCGTTTATCAACTCAAACACTGATGGCAATTGTGGCATATATTATGGCGTCTATTATGTATTTTCCGAATTTTGCTAAAGAGTAGTATAATACTGTTAGTACAATTTGGCTCGCTCGTGGAATTTTGTGTACGTCGTCCTTCTTATATAATTCGTGCTCCTAAATAATTGATTTGTCTATCCTGACGTACGCAAAGATTATGCTTTAACCCTATTGTACGACCGTAGCCTTACCTGAAATTATTATTAGGTACACCTCGCCAAAAGTATATGGTCAAGTTATACCCGTAAACAATGCGCTTGTGTAGGATGAAACCTAGCTAATTTTAGACGGGTCGAACCCTCCCTGTTCTGGCCACTACCAATGACAGGGGCTTATTGTGTGTCGGGTGAGGGAGTTGGAGGGCCAATGGCACGCTATGGATCATACGTACCCATAGACCCCCAAAACTAACTATAAAAGTACGTACGTCCTAGAAACCCTACAGCAAAGACCACTGCAATAGCAGCATGAATGCAATTTACCTAAGGATGATGGTACAAATAGGAAGGAAGTTGGGGTGGTAAATTGCTTAAACGAGGAGATTGATTGTCGATATGGGATACATACATTGCATAATGCGCAAGGAAAGCAATAACTACCTATTGGATAGAGTCCCAGATGCGGGATGCGTGCATGGTCTCGGCACTAGCATCTGCACAATAGCGGGTGTACAGTATTGGCGAGAGTGATATTAAGGCGTCCGTTGGTCACGGCAGGTAATCGCGTGTTACATAAATAATATTAGTGAATACGACTGGGACGGCAGCCGACGAGAATACGGCAATAATGATGTGCACGGTAAAGTTGAGCAGGTCAGCGTATGCCCTTCAACTATCTGACTGCTATATTGACTAGCAGGTTTGTCTAGATGTGGAGTCGGTATACTAGTTATACTTTACCCGGCATGCAGGCTTCTACTCGCTCGAACCGGACAGATGCTTGTAGAAACTATATACTCGTTTAATTTCTCGTGCACAATAGGTCCTCACAAAATATACAAATTATACCAAGTAATTCTATTGTTGTTCTAGGGACATATCAAATGTAGATGAGCCGCACGCAAGACATACTGGAGATGCGGTAAACTATTAGCGGACGCTTCTGAAACCCCGATATAAAGTCGGCCTTGTTAATGCATACCCACCAATCTAGAATAAATTATCGAACAAGAAATGAGTTGGGAGAGTCAATCTTCCCGGGTAAATGGTCAGACAGGACGGAACGCCAGCCATATTATGGGCACAAGCGGGGCTCCCCCATATTTATCAAATGGGGGCATCGGATTGGGCGAACAGCATCGGGGGATACGTTGGCCCGTATAATCGGGCCCAACATTGGTACCTGACCGCGCTAACAATACTGACAACCTCTCAATCTACCAACAATTAAGTCTCTACTGGAGCTAAAAAATGAGTTGTGACTGGGTGGATTAACGCCTAAAACCGATTGTTATCGAAGAATATATGCGTGGTAATATCGATAATCGCATAGGCATAATAATGTTCGATTATGCAACATTCCGCTGACTTAAGCGGGTGATCAACAGAGTGGTGTGCTTCGCGGGTCAAATAACTCTTTAAGAAAATTACCGAGAAAATCATTTCTAATAGCACATTGGATGTTTAAACTGCAATAGGCTATTTCACATTTGACCGCGTTAGGTTTCCATGTATGAGCTGCTTATTGTTAATCGGGTAAACCGCCAATTTTCTAGTACAGCGAGGAACAGTGTTATCCGAGTAATATAATGGCTTTGAATGCACAGCGTACGTGAAGAATGCTTCCAGATTATTTCATGGGTTCGACAACAATCAGGGCCCACGAAGCCCAACCGATTAGTTTGTTGGTATAGTCAGCAATAATTTGAGTATGGTGGAATTGCGTATGACGAGAAGTAAGAGCTCTCGGATTTTAGTTTAACAGTGTGATACTAAATCCGACCTAGTTACATTTATTCGGAGCCATGCCAAACCCGAAATTGGGTGATTACAGTACAGGCAATATTATACAGCTGTAGAAATTATTAAGGTTCTGGCTTTTATGTGCTATACGCGAGGTAAGGATGTCGAGATGAATACTCTATCATGGTGTAAGGATGTTGATTTTAGCGCTCATTTTTGTTTACACAGTTCATTATTCAGATTTGTTTACTTTTCTATAAAATTTTTTTGATTCTTCAATCATAGATATCAGATTGACGTACAATGGACGAGAAACAGTATCTTCAAGAAGGTAAGTATTAAAATTCAGTATGCATACCGGAAGAATCAATATTAACATGTATTTAGATTTTGACCCGAAGTCCTTGAAGGTAGCCCAATTGAGAGGCATCCTCAATGAGTACGATATTTCATTTCCTTCTAACGCCAAGAAGACAGATTTAATTAAACTATTTAATGATGAGATTAAGCCCAATGCATCGAAATACTTGAAAGAGTATGAGAAATCGATAAAAAACCTGAATGATGTTGGCTTTATTAACGCCACAACAGGAAAGACGGTGCGTCGGTCGAAGAGATCAACATCTGCTGATGTAGAGTTAAGTGATTCAGAAAAAGAAAAGAAATCCAAGGGAGCTAAGATATCTGAGCAGGCTTCTGATATTTCAGGGTTGGAATCAGATACCGAAGCAACCAATGAAGCAAAGAAGACGAGAAAAAAGACCAAGGACTCCAAAAAAACCAAGAAGTCCTCCAAGGAAGAAATAACCGAAAAGGTTGGTGCAAGCTCTGATGCATCAGAAATTGAGAGTGGAGCCAAACAGACAAGTAGAATTAAAGATGACGAGAAAAGTGATGTGAAGGGAACTATTAACAGTGCTATTAAATCCGAAAGCTCATTTACCAATGAGAACGTTTTCCAATCGCCACCTAGCTCTGCAGGTATAAAGAAGACTAGATCCCCTTCTAATTATAAATCTCCTTCTACATCTAAAAAGAGACATAGAGAAAATGATGAAAATCAAGAAGGTAGCCCCGATACAACCAAAAAGGCTAAAGTTCCGTCCTCGAAGTCACCAAAGCCATCGTCAGACACGAGATTAAAAAGTACGCCTCATAAAACAGGCCATTTATTTGATGACAATGAATCTAGTGATTCTGATACAGACATTTTTTCAAAGAGCATCATAAACCAAGTAAAGAGCCCTAAGCTTTCAAAGATCAAAAAACCATCATCAAAAAAGTCTACGCCAGTTAAAGTCGAAAAACAAACTCCTGTTAAAAAGAGTACCCCAGGTGACATAAATGCTCTATACCAAAATATAACACCTTCACTGCGCACCCGGGAATCGCAACATTTATTGTCGGCTAAAAGCTCGTCCAAGAAAACCAATTCAATCAAGAATTCGGCAAAAAAGAATAATTCAGCTATATCTGACAGCACATTCTTATCATTATCGGATGAACAGGATGACTTTGATAAAGAGCAAAGTAAAATAAAATCAAGAGGAAAATCAAGTACTCATGAAACACCTAGTGGTGTAGACATATTGGCATCGACTGATTTGGCATCGCAATTAGGTATTACTATCCAAGGTTTACCTCCAAAAGACTTCCAATTAAGTGATAACAGCTTTGCTAGTATTAAGAGTCATACCCCTACGAAGAAGTTATCCCCTCGTCCAAGAAAGCATAAAAGTCAAAAGATTTCACAAACAGATTTGGATAAATTGAGCGATGATGATGATGAAGATGAAGATGATTACGAAGAAGAAGAAAAATCAGGCAAAAAATTTGACAAAATTCAGAAGGGTATTGAGGAAGAGATTGAAAAATTGAACGATGTTGTGGAGAAAGAAAATAGTGTATCTATTAGAAAACCTTCTGCTTTAAACATATTCTCATTTATAAGTTTATGGTTGATCATTTTATCAGTTGGTTTATCAGGGTACTGGTACAGAGAACAAACGTATTTAATTGGGTACTGTGGTCAAGAGATAAATCAATCTACAATTCCTCAATCCAGTGATTTACCTAACTGGCTAGTCCAATTTGGAACCTATTTGGATAATAATTTTAAACCCAATTGCGTGAAATGCCCAGCACATGCTAGATGTTATCCTTATTTGGAAATTGGCTGTTATGAAGATTTTGTGGAATATAAACCATGGTACTTTGATTTCATACCTATTATTAACCCCAGTTTGAAGAAATGCGTTCCGGATACCAAGAAAGCTGAAAAATTAGAAATTATGATTGATGTAGCATTAGACTTATTAAGATCCAAAAATGCTAATAAGAATTGCGGTAAGACAGCTGTGGACAATTTTGAGTCAGGATTGTCGGTTGACGAATTACACGATTTGTTATTATTAATGAAGGCACCATACATTACAAAGGAAGAATTTGAAGAATTATGGCAAAGATCAGTTATTGAATTGGAGAAAGAACCCGAAATAATTGTAAGGCAAGTTTTTTTTTTTAAACGCTATTATTTTAAACACGGAATTACTAACATTTAAGTATAGACTGGACTCAGGGTTGGCGACATATTTTCAACCGTTGACTCTAACAACACAAGAAAGGAAGAAAAAGAGAACAAAGTTTTTCGATCAACGTCCTTATCAAACCTCAGCTTAAAATGCCAATTGCAAAATACTATGATTAAGTCTATGATGGAGTATAAATCTATTATAGCGGCATGCTTGGGTATGATTATTGCGGGTATATTACTCAAATATAGATATGAACAATTTAAGTTAGAGAGGCTAAAATCGAAACCATTTACAATGAGGTTTTAAGGAAATTGAGGAAGCAATATAAGGTATCTAAAAGTACTAACTATAAAGTCCCATCTTACATAGGATCGACACAGTTGAGAGATTTAATTTTGACTAATGAAACTAACTTGACCAGAAAGCTAACATTATGGAATAAGGTTAGTCATAAGGTTGAGAACAATTCAAACATAAGATATCATTTGATTGAAAATCATGGAGAAATAATGAAGGTCTGGGAATGGATCACTGATATGGAAATACATGATTGATATATGGCCATATCACACATATATACTTACCTAGTTGACAATATAAAAACAATTAACATTTCATAAATCCATATGCATTACATTATAAATTACTATTGAAACCTATGAAACACTCACATTCTTTACGTTATCAGTAATATCATTCAAAATATCCTCATCGTCACCAGCCAAGCCCTTTTCAAAAATTTCTCTGCCGGATAGTTTACCATTATGCATTTTATTGAAGTTTTCTAAATCTCTTTCAGCAATTTTCATTTCTTCTCTAAACTTGTTTCTCCATTCATTCCAAGATTCTTTTGTTACTTTGGTACCATGGAATTTCTTTTGCTCTTCCATTTCTCTTGCTAAAGAATCCTCATCATATTTTTTCTGCGTTTGTTCTAATTTATTTTGGAATAAAATTTCAGCTTCATCCTTTAATTGGGTTGTTAATGCAAATACTGATGGCATACCAACTTGTAAATTAGCTTCTTCAATCAATTTGGAGACTAACTGGTCTACATCGTTAGAATCAAATTCAATTGTTTCTGATAAGTTCAACATAAGCTTAGTTTCGTTTTCGTTCTCTTCATCACTTTCTTCGTCACTTATTTCCTCCTCTTCTTCTTCCTCTGGTATTATTATGTTAAGATCCGGAACTACTTCAGGGTATTCTGCTGGGTATTTTACATCTAAAAGTAATCTATGTTTGCGTTCAGATGGTGTATCTAATGATAACTTGATACTAAAATGCGTAGGTGAATATTTTGTCAATTCATCTGGATAAATCGATTCCAAAACTTCGAGTTCCAGCTGTTGTTCTTCTTGTGGATCCATATCCGGTATTCTAATAACGTTTCACTAAGTGTTAACAATGCTATCTTCTGATATACTAACTGAAAAAAAATATGTCGCTTCATTTTAGGTGATGAACGAGCATAACGACATTAAACGTAAATGTCGTATTTATTTTATATTAGATCATTAACGGGCATTTAATTTTAACAATTTGTTGAAATCAAGTAATTGAATCAAGACAACAAATATTGAAATATCTAATATACCCCTAAAATTTATACTTGAAATATTAGAACAGTGAATATCAGATAAATTGGGGTTATTAATTTGTAGTATTAATTTAGTTAACTTGTGAGCCAAAGTTTCAAGTTTAAAGATATGACAGAAAATAAAGACGCAAACCATCAAACATATCGTGATTTATTCCCAACTAGTACCTCAATTATAGATTTTGCATACTCAGAATTCCATCCTTTAAGAGTTGGCGAATTTAGCATAGCGCATGGTGATGATTTCCAATATAAGGACTTTGAAATTGATCATGGCTATGATAACAGGGAAAGTGGAAGTGAAGACGAAGATCATAGTTATTCATCTGATGAGATAAATTGCAAAGCAATGGCATTGTTTGATTTTATACCTGAAAATGACAACGAAGTAGCATTGACAGAGGGTCAAATCATATGGATTTCTTATAGACATGGTCAAGGATGGTTAGTAGCAGAAGATTCTGAGAGTGGTGAGAATGGGCTAGTACCAGAGGAATATGTGGAGATTTTCTATGACGACGAGGGGATTGAAGATGTACGAAAACACAAAGAAATACTTGATGATATACCGAAGCCTTTTTTACCAGAAATACTACAAAATTACAATATACACAAACCAGACGAAAGTGAAAGTGAATGGGTAGATACAGATGACGATGTCGATACTGAAAATATCAACCAGACAAAGGGAGGCTTTAATGACAAGAGGGTAAATAATGTACACGGTGTACATCAAGAAGGACAAAGAAACGACCAAGCACAACGTAATGCTTCTGCTTCTCAAGTTGACAATAAAAATCACAGGTTAGAAGAAAGTGTCCAAAATTTGTCATTATCATAGCAATGTAATTATATAGGAAATAGAGTTAGTTAATACTAGGTTTTTTGGTACTGTTACCCATGTGCAGTCTCGATATGATCAGATCAATAAAAAAAATATGTTTGCAATGACATTGAAGATATTAAAGATTAGTCTATGATCTAGAGAAGAATTATTATAATGAAGCAATGTCCCTATATATGAATGAAAAGAATCATAAACCAGCCGTTGGAGAAAATTCGGAACCAGTAAAAAAAAATAACAGAATTTTCAAGGGAAATCCCAATTATGTGAATTTTCTTAATCGAGAGATCAAGGAATTTTTCCAAAACAAACTAGCCAACACCTATAATGAAAAACCATATTTTCAGGATTCTAAGATAAACAATAGAGGAAAAGTGATATATAAGAAAGATAAGGATTTCGAAAATTGGGGTGGTTCAATTTGGACTAATAATCAGAAAGAAGTATTTTTCAATTGCCTTGCAAGGTATTCAATTCATCAAATTGATGCAATTTGCGATAACTTACCTGAGAAGTCAGAGATCGAAATAATGAACTATTATGATTCTCTTGCAAATGAATTAAAAAGATTAAAAGGGCAAGTGGTGAAAAGGCGAAAGTATCATCAAGTTAAAATAATCAGGGACCAAAAAGAAATTGAATATAGATATAAAAGTTTACCCAACAGAAAAAACTTACTTAAATATGAAAATATACCAGCTGCATACGAAATGAGTGAGAATTTCATAAGAATGGAGGAAATACAGGCCGAAATGATATGTCAACGAGAACGAAGCAAAACCAATGACGAAAATCAAAGGTTCAAGCGTCAATTTAATGAGTATACCGTAAGGAAAAGACAAAAGAAGGACAAAAATGAAAGTGATATATCTGAACAACAAGTAGAGGTGGAAAAAGTTGAAGAAGATATAGGGGGTTTAATAAATTACGATAATGCCTGTGAGCTTACTAGAAGCCTATATCTGAATAATAGAATAACCCCATTGCACAACAACAAATTAGTACCAAAATTGCATTACAAATCACTCGTATGCTTTGATGAGATAGTTAGACTAACGACTGAAAAGATTTTATTAAAGATTATAGAATATAAAGTAGTTCTGATGTGGTTAAATCAAAGACAAATACCTTTCGAAGAAAATTTGATACCAATTAAAATTGCACATGGTGATATTTATCGAGCTGTTAATAATTTAAATCTTTTTGAAATACCGAAGAGTGGATATCAATCTCTTAAAAAGGCAGAGGGTAGACCAATGAGAATTAATAATTATTTTTCTCTATTACCCGAAAGGTTGAACGTTAAAATAGGCGACAACATGGCAAATAAGGAGAAAACGAGCTTGTCTAAGGATTCCTACAAGAAATTGATTCTTAATGATACAGATAGAAAATATGGTGAAAGATTCAAAGCAGAATTTGTAAATAACGAATTTACTTCGGTTGATAATTTAAACCACAAAAAGATAGAAACAATAAGCTATAATGCAACACCTATTCCACATATATCTTCGTTACCCAATAGCAAGCCTACAATTATAAATGAGATTAGACTAACAAACCATAAACATGCTAATGAATTAGAGGAATTAATAGAATTTGAGATTTTTAAATTAGAACTGCAAACTTTGGATGAACATGATTCACATAAATCAACTACTTACGAACACTCATTATTAACATATTTAACTCTGTATAAAAGGCACGATGAGAGTGTTAAAGATTCAATGTATAATAATGATGAAGCCGAAGCAATATTAGCCCAAAATGAACGTTCAGATACTGATTTACTTCTATCGGATGACCAAGAAACTGATGAAGCTATAATTAATTTTGATGCTAATGAAGAAGAAGAAGACGACGAAATAGAAGAAGAAGAAGAAATAGAAGAAGAAGAAATAGAAGAAGAAGAAATAGAAGAGCAAGAAGTAGATAAGAGGAAGGAACAGGTAGAACAGAACAAACTCACCGAACCCAAAGTAATTATCACAAAGTCATTGCTTCATAACTTTAACTACATGTTTGCCAGTTATAGTGATTCTGATTAGCAGTAATCATGGATCAAACAAATATCAAAAGGATATAATTCTCTAAGGCAATTATTTGTTTTGGATAAAACATATAGTAAGAAAACAATTTACCGCATTTTTTTTAATATTCTAGCTTAATTAAAAATTGAATTACCATTAGGCCATGGATCAAACGCATCAATAGAATATATATATATATATAAATATAGATTTATAAGATATACATATTATGGTTGCTCAAACAATTGCTCTTAATCGGCCGTAGCTTTTGTACGAAATAATTATCGGCTGCAAAATGTGCGATAAAATCTATGCTTGGTTCTGAATAGAAACGAGATTAAAGAAACTATTAATTGTGTGATATTTGTTAGGAATGAGAGCTCAAATATAGTGTCTAACATAGTTGATATGAGTTTCGTGTAAGTAATGATTTTATTTAGAATAATTTAAGTTACAACCATGCCATTAATACTGATCTTTAGTTAGGACAGCATAGCAATGTTATTAATATATCAAGGAATCCTTAAAGTATATACACAATTTACTAAAATGTTAGATAATCAGTAGTAAGCTTTCAGAGATCACTTTAGTAAAGCCAGGAAAACAAGCGAGTGATTAGATATAATATTAGCGAGCTATTTTACAAATTGGTTTTAATGTTATAATGATTTTATGTGGAGTCCTAATAGAGCAGACATGGACATCTAGAGACATAAGTTTACGTAATAACTACCGATGTATAAAAGATTAACGCCTATGCATATCCCAACACTCGTCAACAAGAATTTATTCTGAATATTTCTGTTCGTGTTCAAGAAAGATTGAGACTTGTTATTAGCATTAACATCGTTGTAAATCCATTCGTAGGACTCCGTGAAATTGATATTGTATACAATATAACATGTCTCATAAAGAATGTAGCGGCATATGCAATAGAACTTCAACAGGAATAACGATATCTTATATGCAAAAATTATCCAATCGGAAGTAACAAATGTGAAGTTGAGATCTATAAGGACGAATGAATGTGCAATAAATATAGGCAAAAAATTATTATTCGTGTCGATTAACAACTCATAGAAACTAAGCACAACATCATTGTTATCAAGTAATGACTTAGGCTTATAATCACGTATTTTCCAGTTAAAATAATCAGCAAGGTTTATTGTGAGAATAAAATATGGACACAATATTTGCCAAAGGATAAACACCTTCAATACTATATTTACATTGGTCATCAACAACGAGTATCTTTGATTGAAAATTAAGTTGAAGCATCCAATATTCTCTATGACCAACAACAAGAGTTCTATTGGGGTGTTTCCAAATTTGCCAATACAAAACCTCAAGATGAATATCAAATTAATAATATTTTGTAGCAAGTCAAAAATGCAATCTTGTATAAAAATAAACTCCCATTGTGATTTAGTATATATTTCATAGTACTGGACTCCGTTTATGAAACAACAAGTAGCAATGAGTACTATTGAGCTGATTATGGGATTGTGGATGTACAGGCACAAATACCTATCAATAAATTTGATTTCCTGCTTGAGGTCTTTATGAGGCATTGGCTCATCTAACAACAGTTTGGACATACTGGGATGCTTAGTTTATTCGTTATTGTTCAATCAACTGTAGAACAAAAATAATAAATGCTTTGTAGTATTAAGCTCTTCGCAAAATCTGAAACTTAACGGAACACTTTTAAATCTAAACTACCACAAATAAATCGATCAATTCTAAAGTCAACAGTAAGTTCTGAAATCCCAATTTATTTATAATAACGCCATAGTAAAATCAATTAAACGGTATTGTACGCTACAGGCAACATGGAGCTATATACATAATTATTTTTTGATTGATAAATACGATTTATTAAGGCCATGAGATGCATGCATTAGATTACATTATACAACTGCGCAATTACAGCATGTGGTATACACATGTGGCTATGGAAACGGGCCTACTATTACTATTAGTGAAAAATACTCATCGCGAACTGATTCCATTTGGAGTTCGTGGTTAATACAATAATGAGGGAATACACCATGAATATATCAAAGTCTTCAAGTATGATACGTTGGAGATTCAATATATTGATAGGGAGGTATAATAAAAATAGTATTAATTTTGGATATGGATGGCGCATTTACATTTAAGGCACTATTCTGTCAAAGTAAGAGAGCTTATTTAAGCCCTGCTTGAAAAATTTTGACAGTTGATATGTGGGCTTGGACATAATTTGTTGTCTAGCTCATATTCCCAGTATTGGGTATAATCAATATGTATTTGGGGGTATAAATTGAAATCTACACACGGGCTCTTGAAACGACTGTTATCTTTAACCTCTATTTCATAAACAGGCAGTTAAATTTACCATTTTAAAGCTGGTCTAACGAAATACTTGAACTGCAGCAAAATGCTGCGGTCGGCTGCAATTTACGTATTACACTTCTACAGAGTCGTAAATATCAGAGCCTTCGTCTTAACCTTAACACGATCCTTTGTACCATGCAGATTCAAAGTCCTGTCAATAAGTATATTTTGTTCGCTCCACTTTGCTAGTGCATTGTACTTAAAAACTTGCCCAATAAGCCTGAAAGGAGCAACTCAGCCAAGCAGTGACATATTCCAAAATTTAGCTTCCTCTAGGAGCTTGTCTATTGTCTATTTGCGTGACCATATTTTCTGTTTATCAGCTGTCAAATATGCCCGCCAATTGTATCTGATGATATATCCCCCTTGTTTGGAGCCATTCTAATTAACCTCAAAAATATGTCTCCTAGCAAAACAGGGATAGCATGGGTGTATGGTTTTACTGCGGATCATTAACTTGCTGCTGTCAGTATCTATTTTTATTTTTAGTGATGTTCTCTTGTTCAACCGCAGCAATATATTCAACTAATTTTTTCGTAATTTAATAATCGATCCAATTCTCTTCATTTCTGATAACCATGGTTCCAATTGTTTTAATAATGCCAGATCGACTGTCCACCTCATTATCATCAAGTTTTTTGCACCTGTTAGAAGCGTATAGAAAAGCTTCTCGATCCATCTAATACGGTTAAGACACGTTTTCGCAGAATCCGGAAAGGTCGTGTCCGCAAACCAGGACTTTTGTTCGGTCTACGTATTAATGGCAAATTGTTGTTCATAGTAGTATATTTGTTCTTCTTATTTAATTAATAATATCCGTATATTAATCAATTAAAAAATTAGTCAATTAAACATGTCTCAAGTCTACTTTGATATTTCCGCCGATGGCTCCAAGTTAGGTAGAGTTACCTTCAAGTTATACAACGATGTTGTCCCAAAGACTGCTGAAAACTTCAGAGCTTTATGTACCGGTGAAAAGGGATTTGGTTACGCTAACTCCACTTTCCACAGAGTTATTCCACAATTCATGTTACAAGGTGGTGACTTCACCAGAGGTAACGGTACCGGTGGTAAGTCTATCTACGGTGAAAAATTCGCTGACGAAAACTTCACCAAGAAGCACGAAAGACCAGGTTTATTGTCCATGGCTAACGCAGGTCCAAACACCAACGGTTCTCAATTCTTCGTTACCACTGTTGCATGCCCATGGTTAGACGGTAAGCACGTCGTTTTCGGTGAAGTTGTCGATGGTTTCGACATTGTCAAGAAGGTCGAATCTTACGGTTCTGGTTCTGGTGCTACCAAGGCTAGAATTGCTATCGATGCTTCTGGTGAATTGTAAATTTCCTGAATCCGGACAGTCAATCAAGTTATGTGAGCATTCCGTGGGGTAGTTATTCTTTATAATTATATATCAAGAGATGCAATACATAAGCTTATATTCTGCGTATATCAATAAGTAACTAATTCATGCTGTCGAAGGATCTGTGTATAACTGGTCAGTGCAGTTGAGATGTATCTTGCTGTTAACTCCTCAATTAGCCATTCTTTCATGCTACAAGGTACGTGACTGCACATTTGCAGATCAGTACGTCTCGATCATTGCCGGAAAGCTTCGAAATTGGTAAATACAGGCACTTTAGGTATATACTCTATTGCTCTTATTGTTCACCTATGATATCTACAAGAGTTTCTACTGGTTTAATAATAAAGATTAATCTAGTTCTATTTTGAATACAAATTAATCAACGCTAATGAACGCAATTATAATTTTGCTTGCAAAATAGCGTCAATTCCACTGAATTTAACACCTCTTTCAATTTCTTTGCCCAAATATAAGGTCTTTCTTGTCTTAGCTTCAACAACGATCGCATACCTGGCAGACCTGATACCCATACCATTTGCAGAAGCATCAACGGATAAATCGTTCTCTTTACTAAAGGCAGCATTTCCATCAGAGGCAAAGAAAATCTTTGGTGCTGGTTCTGTCACCTTTACTGTAGATAATAATAACTTTCCCCAAGCATTTAAGACAAATGCATCATTAGCACTAATGACTATAATTGATCCAATGTTCTTTTCATTCTTCAATTTCGTCAAATTCTTCAAGAAGGGCGGAATGTGGTTCTCGGTACAAGTAGGAGTAAAGGCTCCTGGGACGGAAACGATTAATGTATTTCCGTCTGTTTCTTCCAAATGCTTATCAAGTTTGAGCAAAATAGGCTGTTCGCATGCCAATGGATCTTGCTTGCTGTTTAAATCGATTGGAATATACTTAAATACAACATCCTTTGGGAATGTTTCGCCTTGTTTCAATGCCATTTTAGAATGATAGTAATAAGGATTTCATTTATCACATTGTCGATTCATTCATAAATACCACTAGATAACGCACGTGATAACTTGTAATATTAGCCTGCCATGGCCACCAGATAGACGTCTATGATATCATAGTAAGGCTCTAGATGTCATATATTGGTTTCTGTAAGGGCTTTAGTTTGTAAAAACAAAATGGATCGTTCGTACCATAAAAAAAGTGTGCCAATTGATCAAGGTGTTGAGTAGTTGGCCGTATATTGAGGTGAGAATTATTTTGGTGATGGTACAAATATTCTTAAGTATTGATATAGTATACATTTATAGATGATATCATGGACGAAACTAATGATATAGGATTGGGTATATCAGCCAATTCGCCTAACCAATCTAATCCCTTCCAAGAATCTTCAGCAGAAACTGCCGTTTCTGCATCGACAATACCCTCCAGTATTAGCAATCACGGAAATGAGGAATTCACCATCAAGCCAATTAGATTAGCAAAAAGACATGAAAAGAGGACTTCAGAGGAGAATAATGGAGAATTTCATTGTAGACCAATGAGATTAGGGAGTAGAAATAAGTCGGTTTCGTCACCTAGCGATGAGACACCAACATCAACTCCGAATTCTGTGAAACGCAAGAAATCTATACAAATACGCAATCTACCAATTGTGGAAACGAGCTTTACACAAGACATAAATAGCCATGTTAATGATATGATTTTTGCAGTTTGTTTAGTTGATTTTCACCATGTTAGAGGTCCTGAGATTCAATGGTGGAGATCGAATTATTATCCTCTGTACCCACAGGATAGCAAGCTATTTAAGAATTTGCCGTTTCAGGCTTTACCAGATGGGTCTCATCTTTTTGAAGAAACATTCTCTAATTTTAATTTAGTGTACGACTTCAAGACCGGTAAATCATACGATGATGGAGAAGATTACAATAGCTTCGAAGGTGATCCGAGGCATTTGGAAACTTTGTTTGGATGTTCATGCGTAAGACAAGTCAAGACAAGTGACCTATCAGACGAAGAGAGGTCAAGGAACAAAGATATCACAAGATCAATAGTTCAGAAGGCAGTTGTTGTAATTGCTAAGAATCAGCCAATTTTTCAAATTATAAAAGAAAAGCTATCAATTATATCAGCTAGCTATTTCTTACAAAACAATTTCAGTAACACCCAGATATTAGAAAGTCTATATGATAACTTGAATTCAACTTTCAAAATCAATGAGAAGGATGGATTAATAAAAGACACTGTTTCTAAACAAAAATCTACGCTGAATGAATTTGTTGAAAGACAAGATGAATTCTTCGTCAATCTAAATTTAAAACAAACTCTTTTGAAATTCAAAACGAACCTATTAGTAATTTTCAAAGCCCTATTATTGGAGAAGAAAGTTCTAATATATTCAAACAATAATTTGGAAATGCTAACCCAATTTCAGAATAATTTAATATCGCTTATACCAAATTTGATTAACAATCTTGGAAATTCAGGTTGCCCATTATCTGATTTTGTCGAAACTAATGGCCCACTAACAAAACCCAATTCATTAAACACAAGTAGCAGACAATCAATGCTAAGATTTTTTGGTTTACCCCTACAAATTTTCAATACTAAAGGCTCATTTTGGAATCCATATTTACCTTTACAACAATTAAGTGAATTGAGTGCTTCCGAGACAAGGTCTTATATGGTGGGTTGTTCTAATTTGCTCTTTGTTAATCAGCTGGAGTCTTTGAATGTTGACTTATTGATCAATTTAGATACGACCGAGCTAACTTATCCCAAGGGGAAGCCTGAAGAATTACACTTATCGTCCAAGGATAAAAAGTTTATCAATGTTCTCATTAGCAAAATCAAGGGTAATGAAAAAGATGAATGGCAAAATGATAAGGATAGTGAACAATTCATTGGAAGTGATGACTTTGTGCGCTTTGAATTCGAGGACTATCTTTTATCTTTATTATCGACGACAAGGTATAATCAGTACAGCGAAAAATTCAATCAACCCCCCCCTGGATTTTCTAACACCACATCGCATCAGACCGAAAATGTCGAAGGAAAGCTCTCTTCGGATTCATCAACTATTGTGGATCATTTAGATGATGATGTCAATCTCAATAATATCGAAAATGGAAATCTTACATTATTTAATTCGAAATTTGTTGAATGCTGGCTCACTACTAACAACTTTAAGATTTGGCATCAAATGGCTGATGAATTTATATTCAATTTCCTAGATCCTAAGCATATTAGCGTAGGATTAATAAATGACAACGAGCAGTATAAATTTACAGCTCTATTTAATAATTTGAAGTTGAGATTGAATTCTAACCAGACTTCGTCAGTATTGAATAGTGAGACCAAAGCACAAAAATTTATTCCTAGTTCAGAGGAAACTTTTAACACGGATATCAATAAGGAAAAGGATACTAGGGAACAATCTACCCCTACCGATGATGACGTTCCAAGTACTCCTACGAAACCTATTGGAAATAGAATATCTAGTTGGACTAGTGGTTGGGGATTCAAAAAGAAATAAATTCTTTAAATGGTTTTCATACATTTATAAATGTTTGATATTTTTAATCAAGAATTTACAAGTATTTATTCCCAAATAGTATATATATATATATATAGTAGAGGAGTATAGTTACAGATTTAGTTGCAAAACGATTTCACGTGATATGGAACTCATCTTAAATTTTTCACAGAGAAACCTTTTATACTTCTAGTTACCAAGAAGCCACATATATGCACAGATGAAACATCCTTTTCAAATTATAACCACAGATAAGTCTGGGAAGCATTTATTTGCTACTGTGAAAAATAATTTACAAGTTTTTGACTTGGAATCAGGAAGACAGCTTGGAAGTTGGGTTGATGATGTCGATATTAATACATCTTTGAAGAAACAACAAGAAGAAAAAATCAAAGCGTTGGAAGCTCAGCAAGAAGAATTGACACAGACAAGTGAGGATACTGAACTAGAGAACGACCCTTCTTCTAAGAAACAAAAATCAAATATCTCAAAAGCAATTAAAGTGCCAAAAATTCCGGTACCAGGTCCAGGTGCCCCACCAATTTACAACTACATTAGAGCCTTAACCCTATCAAAAGATCAAAAATTCTTGATTGGGATTACAGACAGTGATAAATCGGTTCTTATTTTTAAGATTGACTTTGAAAATACTGACAACTGCTTAACTCTAATTAAACGTCAAGCTTTTCCGAAAAGACCTTGTGCAGTGTCTACTTCTATCGATGACAAAACCGTTGTTGTGGCCGACAAATTCGGGGATGTTTATACTATGGATATTGACTCAGAAAAATCCATCGATGAAAAAGAATTGTCTCCTTTATTAGGCCATGTTTCAATGTTAAGTGACGTTAAAATCGCCGAGCATAGTGGAAAACAGTTTATTTTGACTGGTGATAGAGATGAGCATATAAGGGTTTCAAATTACCCAAAATCTTATGTTGTCAAACATTGGTTATTTGGGCATCGTGAGTTTGTTTCCTCGTTACATATTCCTGAATTTAATACTGACTTATTAATCAGTGGTGGAGGAGATGAATTTATTTGCTTGTGGAATTGGTATAACAATGAGTTACTCAGCAAGGTTCCGTTACGTGATTTAATTCAACCATTTTTGACTGATTCTCACTTACCTCCTGATAGATTCCTCAAGGAAGATTCCAAAAGAGAAATCTCTATTTCTAAAATATTAACATGCGTTAATCCTAAATCAAATGACAAGTTGATAATAGTTTTATGCGAAAATACCAACTGCGTTTTATTGTTTGAGTTAAAGGATGATTTTTCAATTACACATAAGTTTACATTGAAAGTTGATTACTCCATAATTGATATTTGCTTGGATCTGTCATCGGGGACATTTATCGCTTCAAAGGATATAGAGTCGAACGATGATTTATTAGAATTCTATAAATTGAATAACGACTCAAATACCTTAGAAATTGTTGAGAGATCTGATTTATCAAAAGCTATCACTCAAACAAATAATTGTGAAGTTGAATCAAGAGATCAATTCTATCCTTTGTACTATATCAACTCTTTAAGAAAGAGAAGTGAACATTAATCAGACTATATAAATAATATAATATATCGTTGTATATGATTAAACTTTTATATATAAATAATAATAACCTGATAAAAAAAGATTAGTTAATCCTCAGATATACCACCCTGTTTACATAAGGCGAAGAATAACGATTGCTTATTCTTCAATAAGTTAGCAGGTGTATCAAATTCGGCAACTTCACCGTTTTCGAGAACGATAATTCTATCGGAATCCATAATTGTATTCAATCTATGCGCAATAGTCATAATAGTTCTATCCTTAAATTCTCTTCTAATAGTTTCTTGTAAAACAAGGTCGGTTTCAACATCAACAGCCGCGGTAGCTTCATCTAAAACTAATATATGAGATGGGATTAGTAAAGCTCTTGCAAGGCACATCAATTGTCTCTGTCCAACAGATAAGTTAGATCCACCTTCGGATATCTTCACGTCTAATGCATTTGTTACTTCTTCATTGTCATTTTCTTCGAACATCTTTAATACGTGGTCTTTCAAATGTGACAACTCCAATGCCTTCCAAATTTGGTCTGAAGAAAAAACTCCCGTAGGATCCAAATTTGATCTAATGGTTCCTTCAAACACTTGAGAATCTTGCGGAATTATAGATAATTTGTGTCTCAAATCACTTAATCCGATGGAACTCGTATCAATGTTGTCAATGTCAATGTTTCCTTGAAAACTTTCGATAATTCTAAATAACGCCAAAGTCAATGACGACTTACCAGCTCCAGTTCTCCCGACAATACCAACTTTTTCTCTTGAATTAATAGTCAAGTTGATGTTTTTCAACACTAAATCTAATTCAGGCCTATATTTTGTTGAGTAATTATTAAATGTGATTTTACCAAATTCTGGCCAAGTTTTACTTGGTCTATTTTCTTCAATAACTTCGGGTGCTTCTGGTGTTAATTCAGAATATTCTAAGATTCTCTCAACCGATACAATATTTGTTTCGACTTCAACTGTCATTCTAACAATCCAGTTAAGGGATTGAGTGACCTGCAATGCATAAGATACAGACAAACCAACCAAACCAGCCGATAAATGACCTGACCTCAAAGTTAAAATAGATAACCCAGCAGCACCTAAAATAATTATTGATCCTAAAAATTCCAACCTAACAGCTAACCATCTATTAGCATTAATGGCAGGATGGAATGCGCTCATGTTTCTATCCACTCTACTTTCATTCATGAACTTGAATCTATCTTCCTGACCATAAGCCCTAATAAGGGACACACCAGTAAGAGATTCTTGAAAGTTTGCGAATATTGGTGACCTCGAGACAGAATCCAATCTTCTCAATTCTCTAGATGTCTTCAAATAATATTGCTGATAGTAGACATACAAAAAACCAAGTGGTAGGATAAGGAAAACAAATTGCCACGTGGAAAAGCAAATAACAATGATAGTAAACAAAACTTTAGTAGAATTACTGAAAAACATACCAAATACCCTACCAAGAACTTCGTCAACTTTATAGATATCATTGGAAAATCTATTCAATATTCTTCCAATTGGAGTAGTTTCAAAAAATGACATTGGAGCCCTCAATACGCTTATTGCCATATCATTATGTAACTTTTTAGAACCTTGAATTGTACACCAAATCCACATAATACACGTCTGAAGCAAAACTAAGGAAGAACTACCAATTCCCAATAAGAAATAAATTCCCAAATATTTCATGATATCTGGGTTATAACCATGTCTACTGTTTATTTCGGACCAATGTTTTAACCAAACGTTAGCACCAACAGATACAAGCATACTCAATACAGTTGATGCTAAGAATATTATTACGCTGCTAGGATTACAAGCCTTTGCATACTGCAAGTAAACGTTCCATTTGACTTTCCCTTGCTCAAGGTGTTCTTTTCTTCCCTTAGTATCATCATCTTCTTCTACTTCAACATCATCTTCGTCATCTGGGATTAAGGATGCATCTGATGCCCTCCTTAAACTGTCTACATCAAAATCAGAATCAGATTCCAAATTTTCCAAATTTATTTTATCTTCAATTTCTGAATCTTGTTCATTAGACAACTCTTCTTTCTTCTTACCGAAATCTTTTATCAATTGACGCAAAAGGCTGGAATCTTGTTTCATGATTTCATCATATGTACCATGCTCCACAATTTTACCATTACTAACCATATGAATATTATTCGCAATACTCAATACACCGATGGAATTGGTTGCTAATACCTTACATTTTGATTTTAATAAACCCAGAGGGCCAATTACATGATCAATTAAATGTCTTCCAACATGTTCATCAACAGCACTTAATGGATCATCCAATAAGTAAACATCAGCTCTAGCATATACAGCTCTGGCTAAAGAAAGTCTTGCCTTTTGACCACCAGATAATGAAATACCCTTTTCACCTACTTCTGTCTTATCACCTTTAGGTAATATACTTAAATCAACAGTTAATGCACAAGCTTTTAAAACATGTTGATAGAATTCAGCATCATATTTATGTCCAAATAAAATATTTTCCTTTACAGTTCCATTGACAATCCAAGGAACCTGAGATACATAGGCAACTTTCCCATGAAGTCTTACCTCACCATCTAACTTATATAAATCACCAAGAAACGCTTGAATCAAGGAAGATTTTCCAGAACCAACCTTACCAACAATACAATCTAAGTTACCCTTTTTAGATTCAAAATTAATTTGCGATAAGGCAACCTTATAACTGTCGTCATTTTTATTCTTAGACCACAAAAATGTTCCACCCTTAACTGAAACTGCGACTTCGCCTAGTCTATTAACCCTCGGAGCTTTTATAACAGCATCAGTTTGTATTTCAGAACTAGTTAAGAACTTTGTTAATCTTGAAAGTGCTACTTGTGCTTCAACTACATTTGTGATAACCATTGGAACAACCGACAATGGGAAAGATAAAAGATTGAACAATGCTAACGCAGGAAAAACGATATCAGTCAGCAACGTTCTGTTCTTCTCAAATAACAAGAATACAGCAAATGTTGAACAACTTACCAAAAAGGGAGCCAAATTCCAAGTAAAAACAGAAACTGCTCCAAAGATACCCATCGTTTTCAAGTTACGTAATTCCTTCTCATTTCTAACATGACCCAACTTACCCAAATAAGGATGTTCCCAACCGTATAATTTCAAAGATTTAATATTATTTAATATCTCACTAATCAAACTCGACCTTTCGTCCTTGTATTTCATTTGACGCTTTTGGAGCTTCTTCTGGTACTTAGCAATTACACCATTTAATGGAATCATTATAAGCATAATACCAACACCTGCCCACATGGCTTTCCCTAATAAGCTATGAAGAGACAATAAACACAATATAATCTGAAACGGACCCGACCAGATAATCTGTAAATTTTGAACTAAATCCTGTAATCTTTGAACATCAACGGACATCAAGTTAACAATATCCCCAGTGCTTGATTCTTGTTTTGTTTCATTCGATAAAACTAATGACTTGTTATATATGACAGAAGTCAATGAAGTCTTAATTTTCATACCTAAATCAAAAGCTCTTTGGAAATATTGATGTAAGCAAGCAGTCTGAGTAACTGAAACAACGAACATAGACCCTGCAATCATGAAACCTTTCGTCAAAGGAATTGGATCATCTTTTTTCAATGACTCAGAATAATCATTAACAAATTTGATAAGTAATCTTAATAACTGTGGCTGAACGAATGCCAAACAATCCTGCAAACCTTTAAAGACGCCTCCAAGTACAAAGGAAGCACCAAATGCTTTTGAAAGTGCCCACGCTAATGAAGGTCTACTAGTTTGCGTATTCCAATAATGATTGAATATATTCGACGTTGTAGAGGACTTCAAGTTTTTAGGTAAAGGTGGCAAATCACGCTCAGTTAAAAACTGAATATAACCCTTTCTCATCAATGATCCCATCCAATTAAATGTAATCTTAGAGAAGACATTAGCTGAATCATATGGAGAAGTCTTAACAGCAGTCTTGAAAGGAATTCTTGGTTGTACAGGGAAATATATCTCCAAAAACAAGATAAACCCAGCATTAACACAGGATACAATTGTGATAATTGCAAAATGACTGTTGATACTATTCCTCAAATTTAAATTGACAATCTTTCCAAGATTTAAGACTATTTGAAATAACCAATAGAAGAGTAAGACCCCATTTGGTATAGTAGCTTTAAATTGTTCAATATAATGCAAACCAAAACTAACTATAATTGCAGCCCCATTTAAAGCCAAAGATAAAGCTATAACATCCTTATTATGATACGTTATAAAAAGACCAATTTGGAAAACAAATTGCAATGCTACCAATATTATCTTAGCATAAAAGGACCACGAAACTCTATTACCAACATTAACTTTTACATTTCTTAAAATACCAATCTGGTATGTACCAGCACCAATCATTAAAATAGATGAAATACCAAATATTATACCCTGTAAAAAACAGGGAGAAATATCACTATAGTATGGTGATAATGGTGCCCAGCCATCTTTATGTGAACATCCTAGCCACCCATAGCCTGGTAGGCTATTGTTACTAGCAGTCCTCATACCAGTCGATTCCAGCAAGGATGAAAATAACAGTGGCAACTGACTAAACCCAATATTGAGATGAGTCGTATCCATTGAAGGTATTTCCGCTTGCTCCATGTTTATCTTCTAATGTTAGCTTTACCTTCTTTTTTAAATATATGAATTTCGTCTATACTGAAAAATGGATTACAAATCGAATTTTTATATCGTCGTGTATTTGCGAATTTATATTTATCTAAATAGCTTCTTCAACTTACTTCTTTTCTTGTCCTTTGTTTGTTTGCTATCAGGAGGAATAGCAGATGAGCTAGATGTATCGCTTCCACTCATTCTCTTTTGATAATGCAGTGGAGTTTGTGTAGCCGGATTTATGCCCGGAATAGTATTAGGAGCAGGTTGTTGAGGAATCTTTGGTTGGTTTGTTTCGAACAACTCTATTGGAACCTCTTTATTTGATGTCATTTCATTATATAAATTCAAGTTTAAGTCATTTATCTGTTTCACGGAATCAATACTTTGTAAGCCAATTAAGAAATCTCTTGGTTTTAAAATTGATTCGGATCCTAAGTAGAAATCTTTGTTGGTAGCATTAGCCAATTCATAGATGGATCTCATTTCAGAATAAGTAACTCCTCCCGCCACATAGCAGAATATTCTTTGTTTCGGCCTGTTGACAGAGCCAAGATTCAGTGAAACTTTATTAGATGATTGTGCCCACGAAGCCTTAATTCTTGGGTTTCTTAAGGAGCTATTCGTAGTGCCATTTTGATTACTATTATTAGAACTAGAAGCAGACGCTGGCATATCATCTTCCAAGGGCTTATCACGGAAGTATGGAAACCAATCTTCATCTAATTGGTATTTTGTTGCCTTCTGTAAAACAGCTTTTAACCCTGGTCCAAACCTTGACGTATTATAAGTACCTTCATTATTAATTGTATGAAACAGTTCCTTTTTCAAAGGCTTATCCTTAACGTTAGACTTGATAATTGGAAAACCTAGTTTATGCAAATTTGTGAAACATCGCGATATAAGAGAAATGATCTGGCGATCTCTGACACCTATAAATTTAGCAAGCTTAACAAAATCGGCTTCAATCAATCCTCCTCTGTATAAACCATAAATCAATACTAATCTCATTTTATCATTTACGTGTAAATCATCTCTAGCTAATAAATCAACCAAGTCATTTGCAAGTTGTTTATTTTTGATCCCTTCGAAACTAGTTCCTCCAGCAGTGCAATTCTGCTCGAAATCTGCAGCAAATTCAGCCAATTTACGACTTGCATTTATATCAAGGCATTCATCAATTAAGTTTTTATGTAATGTAATTTGCTTTCTTTCTTCGTCAAACCCCTTCAAGTGTGCGACAATATACATTAAATCACTTGAAGTGGTTGCCTTAGATCTGTCGACCATCAAAGGGTTCTTTTTAATCAATTCGTTAATTTTATTCATGATAAGTTCAGAACTTTCAATAATATGTAAATGTCTTAAACTAACCCAATCCTCGTCGTTTTCATTTTCTAAAGTTACCTTGACTTCCTTTACTTCACCTTTTTCGTTTTCTGATTTATAAGAATAAATGCCCTCACGCTCAAGGCTATGTACAATATCCATTGCCATTGCTTGATAACTGAATTCGTGTAGCAATGGTGCAAATAAATCTAAGGTACGATCCGTAATCAATAAGATTGATCTTGGTTTATCTTGAATCGTTGGAGGTGGATAATCCTGGTTTAATCGAGCATAATTATCGATCTGTCTCTGAAATTCATCCGCAATCAATTCAGGAAGTCTAGATGCTTTATGCGTAGGGTTCTGTGGTGAATAGAATCTTATTAATGGGTATTCGCCTGTCAAAACCATTAAATTAACCAAAGATTTTGCCGCAATTCTGATTTGAGGCAACACCAATTCAGCACAGTTCTCATTAAAGTATATTGGCATAGAGTTGGCAGTTTTGTCATCAGCAAGAAAAACTCTAGTCTCAACTGGGTGAAACGTAGAATTGATAAAGTTAACATTGTCTCCATTATTGAAATAATTCAACACCTTCGGATTATTCATGAACTTTGGAGAGTTATACAAATGCGAGACTTCCATTTCTCCTTGCACTAAAGGTAAGAATAGTCCATGGCCCTTCTTATACCTATTAGTCTCGACATCCGCTATCATACATTTAATAGTATATGGGGTCAATTCAACAAAATAAATTGCCTCAATAAATGTTTGTTGACGCCGTTTAGTGTCTAGCTTCTCTATGGACGTAACAACTCGTAATATGTTATCTTTGGAAATGACTTGGTTCAAAAGCGATTCGGTTCTATCATCAATAATTAATGCATATAGCGTACCTTGCACCTGAATGGCTTTAATTTGATCCAAAATATATTGCCTCTGCAAATTTATCAACGAACATGGATCTGTATTCCTATGTGACATATTACCTTTGGTTTAGTCCTTCTTTCTGTCGGTATCGACCTTCTTTATTGTTTAAATACTTCCATTTCTCTCTAAATTCAGTTGTGTTTTGATTATGTAATCGGAATAACAGGACCCCAGTTGATTATAATATTTTCAATCATCATATTCACCAAAAGAACAAGTATACAATTAAAACAATTCTAAGATAGTTGATGGTATATTCATCGGATATAAATCAGACTTTTAATGCCCATATTAGCTCCAAATTCAAACGTAAGTGCTAGCTACAGTAGTTTGTCGCCATCTAAGATCATATCAAGAAAGCCGTCCTTTAGAGCAGATAGCTCTGATAATCACGAACTGTTTTCAGAACCATATAAAGCAAGCATGACTTCGCCTACGTCCACATCTACAAGTAATAAATCCAAAAATGTTGAAACTGTGATATATATTCTTGGCTGGTACCTTTTTTCTTTATCCATCTCCATATATAATAAATGGATGTTTGGTAAAGGGCTAGATTTTAAATTTCCAATATTGATTACTTCTTTTCACCAATTTTGCTTGATGATTCTAAGCGGGATAGTTCTATGGGTGAAACCACGGTTGAGACCAACGATCAATACCAAGAACCATGACGGTGATATTATCAATCGGCCAAGTAACTCCCAGTCCAAATTCATATCGTTTTTGTCTATTTTCAAGATAAGCTTGTTCACATACTTAAAGCAAATATTCCCTTGTTCGCTCGCATCTGCAGGAGACATTGGATTGTCTAATGTATCGTTCAAGTTTATTTCCTTATCGTTATATACCATGTTGAAAGCATCATCATTAATGTTCGTATTGCTTTTTGGGTTACTTTTTCGTTTAGAAAAATTCCATTGGAGGCTATTGGTTATCGTGTTAATAATGACGGGCTCTGTTATTATGATGGTGAAGAAGCCTCAAAAAATTGGTCTGGCTCTGACTGAAGAAGATGATCATAATAATTTTGGGATATTGTTAGTTCTTGGTGCTTCTATGATGTCAGGGTTAAGGTGGTCTTTTACCCAAATCTTATTGAAGCATAATGACTATACTAACAACTCAATTTCAACAATATTCTATATTTCACCATCTATGTGCTTAACCTTATTTCTATTTGGATTGGGTTTTGAGGGATGGTCTAATTTTACTCAATCTCCTATTTGGGAATTAGAAGGCATATTCGGAACAATTTTGCTCATACTTATACCAGGTGTCTTAGCATTTATGATGACTTTATGTGAATTTAAGCTCTTATCAGTGGCGCAGGTGATAACATTATCCATAGCTGGAATCTTTAAAGAACTTTTAACGATTATTCTAAGTGCTTTGATTTTTGGAGATAAGTTGAGTTTTATTAACTGCCTAGGTTTACTAATTACCTTTGTTGATATTATATGGTACAACTATTACAGGTTCAAAGAAAACCAAAACAAAGAATTCGAGGGGTATTCAAGTTTGAATGGCAAGGATGAAACTGAAGATGACGAGGTATCAATTGGTTCGTCAAACTTGGATATGAATTCGAATTCAAAAATTGACAGCATAGAAATGAAAAAGTTGTAGACTATCTTTTTCATTTGGTCTTTAAAAGACCGCCGGTTTAAATATATACAACTTGTACAGTATAGAAATGTGTTTTATCTAATATACATATTTATTATTCTTAAAGGGACAGATACTGAATCATAAAAATATTATACAAACGATACAGGTAAAAATCCCCACACCCAAGGAGATTAACTTATTAGATAAATTTTTATCAAATATGACGGGTGGTTCAATTCTATTTGCAGAATTTGCTTTACTGCTGCTTTGACTATCCGTTGTAGTCAAGCCATCAGATGCAGTAACAAAAATGTCACCAGATTTAATTATAATTCCAGACAAAATTGCAGGAATTGATGGATCTCCAAATTTGGTGAAATTCAGCGGGACATATGTTAACGTGAAGTTTTCTGTGCTATTGTATTTTGTTGCAAAAGGGATCTTACCTGATTCAATATATGCAATTGAATTATGAATTGTATGATTACTTAAGTATCCACTAGTTTCAGATTCTAAGTGTGCTAATGATGTTGAATAGTGTTCCACTTTTTTGGTATTAGAATAATCTTCTATTTTTACGTCAAGATTATGATTTGAGTTAGCCACTGCAATTTTCCCTCCTTCATAGTCAACAGCTAAATATATGGCCCTTAGAAAAGGTATACCTAATGCAGTAAAACCAGATACTGAACTTGGTAAGAAGCTCAAATAACAAGCTCTCTTCCCAGTAGCAAATGTCAAATTACGATTATTGTAGCTTGCACTAATCAAGAAATCGTCCAATGGAACCTTAACACGTAAGTCGCCAAATTTGAAGTTCAAAGTAGCATTCAAATTTGAAATCTGATCACATTCCACTACCCATCTATTAACTTCACTGCTATATGATGCATTGGTTTGTATTGCTAAATTCACAATCATGTACAAAGGCAAATAATTAAATACTGTTCTAGAATCTAATAAAACCGCAAAATTCTGAGAATCAGACTTGAGTGAAAGGGTTTTATGATCATTTTGATTTTCCACTTCTACATCCGAAAGTGGCAAGATTGGTAATTTTAAGTTGTCTATCAACGTGCTGTCTTCTAATGAATATTGTGAAGCTTCATGGTCTGGAATATCAAACTCAAAAAAATCACCTGAATAGTATTTATTATCAACCATACCAGGAATTAATTCTGCTACTGCATTCTTTGAATCTGAATAATTATTGAACCAAAGAGAGTAACCTACTGAGCCAATAATATCATTTGCGACCAATGAATCTAAAAAGCCTGACCCAGTGGGATTTCCAGCTAAGCCCAAGCCCCCAACTAAAACGTTCGCTTCATCTGCATTAACAAATGTAAAGTCTTTTAAAGAAATCTTCTTGCTGTCTGAAATTATAAACGAGAAATTATCCGTAGCAAAAACTCCACTAACATTAATACTATTCAAATACGGTATTGAATAGGGCTGGTTATTATAGACATTCGACTTTGTTGGACTTGCAATAGAGCCTGAACTTCCAGATTCCATAGAATAAGCACCTTGTTGTGCACAAGCTGTTGCAACATATTGTGATGCGTCAGTTACCAGGGCAGGCATTGAAGATCCGTATTCTGATACTTCCGATGCATACCACTCGTCTATATAGCTGCAGTCATAGAAATCTTTGTTATTCATTACCCAAACTTCTGGTTGTATTAAGTCTAATCGAAGACCCATTTCCTCATTCCCCATACTCATATTGGTATTATAATAATACCCATCATCGTTGATTCTGAAAACTAGCTTAACTAATTCCTTATCGTATGAATCTTCTGTGTCCATTTTCACCGGAACTGTGGTTGAGGCCTTTTCGGTGGCTGAAGTCGCAGCTCCATTATCTAACGTAATTGGATCTAACGTTAATTTCACCCTCGCATTGTCAGTACTGGAAGTAGTTGATGTTGATGTTGATGTTGATGTTGATTTAGTTTTCTCCCCAAGACCCATATGTAACCCAAAACACAACCATAGCGCAAACCAAACAGAAAAATTTTTCATACTGATATTTCTATTATTATCATACAGATACTATGCTAGGCACTTATCAAAACCTTTATACTTTTTTGTTTTCAGTACAAAAGTGGTCTATCAAGGACTATTAGAACAGCTAAAACCTGAACTTGAAGCCTGAGTCCGAAGATACAATTACTGGTGTAACCGCAAAGATTTAATCTAAAGTGGTAAGAAGCATCTTCTCATTAGGATAAATGGGACGTTATGGAAAAAATACATATTGAAAATAACACAAAATGCGGTAAGCCTCTCTTACATTCGTATGAGCTAATCTCTTAAGCATTCAACCCCTATTTTTACAAATTCATGGCAATCCAAGATTATCATTCATATCATTGAATTGTTTCTTCAATTATTTTAAGAAACAAAATCAATCTACAGAAGTTATTATATTAATAGATCGTAAAATGAGTTGGGTATGTCTATGGTGGT